TGTTCCCTCTCTGCTTTATTGGAAGATAATTTACATGCCAGAAACTTGCTGGTTTGGAGTGGCACAGCCATCACCATATTCCCCATCTCACAAGGAAAACTTGTACACAGAGCTGCCCTTCCCTCCACCCCACGTTCCTCCCTGGCCCACTCCTGGCGTCCTACCTGCTGGCTGTCAGGACTTGCCCCTTGCAACATTTCCTGTAAGCGGGGCTCCTGCAGCATGCGCACTATTGTTGTGTATCAGTATTTCGATCCTTTTTACGTCAAGTAGTGTTCTGTGGTGTTGTTTATTCATCAGTTGATAGTGCTCCCACGTGGGGGCTATCCTGCGTAATGCTGGCCTGAACGAGTTTTGTGTGGCTGTTTAAATTTGAGTAGTAGACAGACGTGGGTCACGTGCTAAGTATGCACTTAGCATTTTGAGGAGCTACCAAGTGCTTTTTCAAAACCTCAGCAAAAACAATGTTCCATCCCCATAAGCAATACTGAGGGTCCTGTCGCCCCATCCAGGGTGTGAAGCGCTCCGGGTCTGACTTGCCTCTCCCTGGTGGCAGGCTGTTGAGCATCTATCCACAACCCAGGGGCCACTCTGACGGTCATTTCCAAGAAGCTTCCAGAGTAGCCTCACCCTTCATCCCAGCTTAACGCCTATAATCCTAGCTGAGCAGGGGGATGGAAGCCAGTCCAGGCAAATAGTTCACAAAACCCTATCTCGAAAAAACCCTTCACAAAAAGTGGGGGGGGGGGAGGGCTGGTGGAGTGGTTCAAGGTGGAGGCCCCGAAATCAAACTCCCAGTATGACAAAAAAAAAAAAAAGACATAGAAGTATGTAACTCGTTAGTTTTAGTGTATTTTTAAAACTGTCCACCTATTCTGAAATTCGCCCCTGTAGGACTGAAGAACATTTCTGTCACCTTAGAAAGACTCCATGCCCAGCAGCCACGGTCCCGTCTCTCTCCTCTCTCATGATCACATTTTGACTCATCAGGGCACTTGCTGTGCTTGTTGATTTGTGAGTGCTCTTTACATGTCAGAGATATCAGCTCCGTCACAGGTTACCACATCACCTAGTTCTGTCTCACTTTTCAGTCTTGTTCCTAAGCCCCTTGGCCTGTTGAATCCAGGCAGTGGTTTTCTTTTTGTTTTCATTTTTTCCCTTTTTTGCTTAGAAAGGCCTTCTGTACACTGGGCTCAGAGAAATACATGGTTTTATTCCAGTTCCATCTTGTTTTTTTTTTTTTTTTTTTTTTTTGGGTGGTACTGGGACTTGAACTCAGGGCCTACACCTTGAGCCACCCCACCAGCCCTTTGTGTCTCACAAACTGTTTGCCTGGGCTGGCTTTGAGCTTTGATTCTCCTGATCTCTGCCTCCTGAATGGCTAGGATTACAGACATGAGCCACTGGTGCTTGGTCTGTCGGGGTTTCTTTTAAATGATTTCATTCTTTGTGGCTGGTTGTTTCGTGATGAAGCCCAGCACATACGTAGTAAGTGCTCAGGAAACGAGCTACAACTAGGAGGCCAGGCCCCTCCTTCCGCCCATGCCGCGGCGCTGCAGCTGCACGGACTCATGCTAAAGCTTCTTCTTCTGAGTCATCGTTCTTCGAAGGCAGCAGTGGCCACCATCAGGGCTGTTGAGGATGCCGCTGGTGAGCCCCCTCCTTTGGCCTCTGTCACCAGCCTCGAGTGCAGGGTGTGCCAGCTGTAGCTTTTTCCGCCCTGCCTGGCACTGGCATACCTGGGGCCACTGCTTCCCGAGCTGGTCCTGCTCCATGGGGTGGGCACAGTGAGTGCCATAGGTCTTCCCCACTGAGGCTGCATGGAGTGGAGACGGGCTAGCCAGGCGTATGTGTGCGCAGAGGCAGGGTTCCTGCAGGGCTGCCAGGAGCCGGATGTGGCCCAGGGTGGGGCTGATGGCACGGGCAGACTGAAGCGGGTCATGGCTGGCTCTCTGCCCTGTGCACTCTGCTCCAGGCACCCACAGTGGCTTTCTTCACATGGTGCCCCAGTTGCTCCCTACCCAAGCTTCTGCCCAGGAAATGATGGGGGGTGCTGGTTCCAGGCTGGCCCCTCCAACAGGCTCCTCTGCTGGCATGAGAGGGAGTCCATCACCCAGCTGCTGTGGTTGACACACTCTCAGGAGCCAGGACTGTCTCTCAGGAGGAGACCAGACTGGCTCTGTCCCTGGGGAGGCAGCTCCAGCATCTGAGAGGGGCTTTGTGTCCCTGTCACTGCAGTTCTGTGTGGGATGGTCAGACTCTGAGAGGAGCTTTTGTGTCTGTTACCATCATTGTTCAGATGGAGGAACCCTTGTGGGATTGCAGGCACTTGCTGGGTGCTCCCCTCCCCCATGACCCTTGGTCTCCTCTAGGGGAGAGCGTGGAAAGGCTAGTGTGCACCTGTTGTCCACCCCCACATGGTCACTGCTGCCTGCTTGAGGGGTAAGGTAACTGGCTGATGGTTTTCCTGGGAGAGGGACAGGGCCATAGGGCGGGGGATGCAGGCCCCAGACAGGAGCCAGGGGACTTGCTCAGTGTCACACAGAGGCAAAGATAGCTGAACCAGGCACCCGAAGTGCTAATGACAATGAGCTTGGGGATCATGCTGGAGTGACCAGTGGCCCATAGTCACCCTTTCTGGTTTGTTCTGGGATTGCTTACTGCCTTCCAGTGGTCTACGAAGGGGTCAGGGACCAAGAGGACTGAGGACCAGGGCCCTTGGCACCACTAAGCAGGGCAGGTGGTGGGTGTGGAGCCCCCTGCAGAAGGACTTGCAGCCCGAGGGCACCAGGGGCACAGGAATGTACAGGAAGGGACCAGTGCGCTTGGGTCCAACAGGGCCAATGGCTGGCGTCAATGCTTCCTCCTAACTCCAACAAGGGGTTCCTCTGAGCATCCTTTGGCTCCAGGCATCTACATTGGGTGGCTTGCCCTTCCTGGGGAGTTTGCAAGCTGAAACCCTCCTTTGTACCTAGGGATGAAAAGACCTATGACGGAGGACGCGTGGGTCCAACAGTGGTCTCTGCTGTAGGACTTCTCAGCAGACCACAGTGCACACATGACTAACATCTCGGAGTCAGGAATCTCAGATTTATGGTTGTGATTTTTCCTCCTAGCTCTCTCTGGTTGTCTGTTTTGGAACAAAACAGGTCATTTTGTTTTGAGGTTGGCTTCTTGACACTGTCCCCATCAAGTCATTCATCATGTGTGTGATGGTGGGGGATTTGAGTCGTGTCTGAGTCTTTTTAGGCCCTCATCCAAGACCTCGCTCCACTTTTAGATCAGTAGGGCCCCAGGGATTCAATGCTGTCCCCCCAGCTTTGTGTGGTGCTGTGGGGACACCTAGCGGACTACCTCTGCTCAGCATTATGAGGTCCAGCTGACTCCTGTGGCCCCATGTTGCCTTCTGGAGCTTCCTGGGGGACCAGGGAGGGCCAGGTGCCCAGCAGGACTACTCAGGGCTGTGTAAGGACACAGTAGAGTAGGCTGCAGCCAGTACCTTGAAGCAGGGCCACCCTTGACACCACCCAAAGCAGCACAGGTTCACAAGTCAGAAAACAGTTTCCAGGAACCAGGACAGAACCATGAGGCCTGGACACTCACTGACTCTGGCTTGTCGCCCTCCGTTCTTCATGCAGGCTCGAGACTCATGCCACAGTGGGAAGAAGGGGGTCCTCGTGTCAGCTGGAGTTAGGACACAACTGTGCACGCCACCCTTCTCTCAAATGTCTCCACAGAGCACACTCTGCACAGCTGTGCCGAACACCTGTAGGGGTGGAGCCCTTGGTCCAGGAGAGAAAGCTGCAACGATGTTGGCACTGCTGGGGCCAGCCACTGGTGCTGGCCTGCATCTTTGCCTGCGAGCTTTCTAGCAGCCACAGAAAAGACGGGTGGGGTGATTTCCATCGGGACCAAAGCACCCATCTGCTGCAGGACAGAGTGGTGACGTTCTAGTCACTCTGGTCAGCAGCCCCAGGGTGACTCAGATTAAGCCTAGGGAACAGCTGCTTGCTGACTAAATCTGACCTGTGCTAATACAGCCCCAGCACTTGGACTCTTGACAGTCCCTCTGGGGGAGTGGGGAGGGAGGGGTCCTTCACCTGCCCACAGCCTGGTATGGGCTCTGTACACACGCAGGGCTGTAGGAACCTGGACTCTGCTCAGCACTTTCTCCACAGTGGGGCGGAGCTGGGCCTGGAGGCCTCAGTAAGAGTGAAACCCGTGGCTTTGCTGGTTTAATCTCTGCGCACATACTGGAGATTGGGCCGTGGGCGGAACTGAAAGGGAGGCCAGGTCTGGCCTACTTCCTCCACTGGCCCTGCAGACAGGGAGCTGGCATGGCCTCTTAGAAAATCGTTCACTGAGGCTCTGAGGGCCGGGGAGCCCCTGTGTCTGAACGGCCACAGCCTGGGAGGCCTCACTGCCAAGGGTCACTCAGGGCTGGGATTGCCTTCTTCCCTCCTGACATGACTGGGATGTCACAGGAAACGTGTTCCTTCCTCTCCCAGAGCAGGACAACAAAGCCCCAAGACTGCTCCTCCATTTATGTCACTGCCTAGGCCCCTTCCAGCAGCGGCACATGTGCCCTTGCTGGCTTGGGAAGGGCTACGGTACTTTAGGAACACCTGGTTGGCCTCTGCTCCCGCGTGAGAGAGGAAAAGTCCTCAGTCACTTGCCCCTAGCGAAACAATCTTATCACAAGAGGAAGCAGGGGACAGGCGGGTGGGGGAGGATGAGCTCCCTTCTGAGAGAACCCTCACCTAAAGGCAGCTGACCTCTGGGACACTGCACCATCTAGGATAAGCCAGCATCTGGCTTGCATGGTGCTGCAAGTCCCATGTCAGACGTCCGTTCTATGACCAACAGCATCAGGGCCTAGAGGCTAGGCGTTACCCCACAGGTGGCAGGGCATGTTGGGCCTTGGTGCGGGCTGCACCTGGGAGACTGCAGGCTGGCACACCATCCACGACAGTCTCCAAGTGGTCATCTTGGTCTTCTAGAGCTCCAAGCCCAAGCTCCAAGCAGCCTGCTCCAGCATCCGGGAGGTCCGGCGATGCACACGCCTGGAGATGCCTGACAACCTCCACACCTTCGTGCTGAAGGTGAGCAATGCGACCGCCACACCGGGTGATCCTCGTACTCCTGAGATCCACACAGCACCCTCTTTCTCTCTACCAGGTGAAGGACCGCACAGACATCATCTTTGAAGTGGCAGATGAGCAGCAGCTGAGCTCGTGGACGGCTGAGCTCCAGCAGTGCCGAGGGTGAGGCCCACCCCTGCCTTGGCTCTGACCCTGACCCACCTGCTCTGCTCCTCACACCCAGCCTCTCCTCCACAGCCTGGAGAGCACAGACGCAGAGGTGCCCTTTCCCTCCACACCTGAGCCTGGTCTGGCCAGCTCCCTGAGGGGAAGCACAGACTCCCTGAACCAAGGTGTGTGAGTGCCCTTGTCCTCTGCCTGTGCTGGACACACGGCCCCACAGTCAACATCACCCATCTTCTCTGCCAGGTTCTTCTCCTGGGACGCTGCTGGACCCAGCCTGCCAGAAAACGGACCATTTCCTGTCCTGCTACCCCTGGTTCCATGGCCCCATCTCCAGGGTGAAGGCTGCACAGCTGGTTCAGCTGCAGGGCCCTGATGCCCATGGTGTGTTCCTGGTGCGCCAAAGCGAGTCCCGGCGTGGGGAGTACGTGCTCACCTTCAACTTCCAGGGCAGAGCCAAGGTACGGGCGGGCAGAGCTGTCTCCCTCCCTGGAGGGCAGAGCCGGGCTGTGGCCAACCTCCCCCTCCTTCCCCGCAGCACCTGCGCCTTTCCCTGACGGAGCGGGGCCAGTGCCGCGTGCAGCACCTGCACTTCCCCTCAGTCGTGGACATGTTGCGTCACTTCCAGCGTTCGCCCATCCCACTCGAGTGCGGTGCCACCTGCGATGTCCGGCTCTCCAGCTATGTGGTAGTCGTCTCCCAGGCCCCAGGTGTGACCCCAACCCCCTTTGCTTAAAGGAGGGCTGGCACAGGGAACGGCACAGAGGGTAAAAGCTTGCTGTGGAGTAAGCTATAGGGAGGCGTGGTGGTTCTGTCTGCACTTCGTGAAGACTCAGGGTGCTCTCTCTCGCTCACTTATCCCAGGTTCCTGCAGCACTGTCCTCTTCCCTTTCTCCCTCTCACACTGGGACTCTGAGCTGGGCCTTCCCCACCTTGGCTCTGCTGGCTGTCCCCATGGGCTCGGTCCAGAGGCTCTCCCAGGCCAAGCATGATAACCAGTACACACCTCTGTGACGGGGGATGCAGGCCTCAGCAGGTGGTCGAGAGCACACACGGAGAAGAGACACAAACTTTTTGAATGTAACCATCTTTCCTTCCTTCCAGAGAGAGTGAAGGGCTCTGCCAGCTGCTCTGTTCAGTTGGGAGGTGACCCTTCTTCTGTTAGGCCTGTTGAAGGGCCTCTTGTAAGTTCCACGCAGCACCTGGCTTGCTCCTTGTTGTTTACAGATGTAGTTCTTGTCCACAGATGCTGCCAGCTCTTGCCCCGGGTCCCTAGGACTAGTCCTCATCCCTCAGGAGGGGTGGGAGGAGGGCCAGAGCTGGCTGTAGAAACTCGTTCTCTTTTTTTTTTTTTACTGACATTGTCACAACCGATGACAGACTTTCTACTGGGGGAGGGTCATCAGGAAGCCCAGAACACTAACAAGCCCTGGATTCCCCATTGTAGCTTCAGTTCCGTGGCAGGTCCACATGCCATGCCACGAGTGGCCACTCTTAACCCTGCTTCTCCTCTCAGCTTTAGGACAAACTTCTGTCGGAGGGCCAAATGATTTTAAACATTTTACCTCAGATTAAATTTTTTTTTTTTTTAAAGGATTCAGGTTTCCCAATGAAACCATAGCTTACTTCACTGCACTGTTTCCACTCGGACCATGCCATTCTGCAGTCAGGGACAGCTATGCACGCACCCCTTGCGTGACTCGCTCCCGATGGGAGCCAGCATGCCGGCATCCTTCTCTGCTCATCCTCAGGACAGTCACCTGCTGCTGGGTCGCCTCTGTCCTCCCTGATGTAGAGCAGCGAAGTGTGTCACCCTTTCAGGAAAATCTAGACAACTGCTCCAATAGGAGGGTGGCAAGGAACAGATCAACCCTGGTGCCTTATGAATAAAACAAAACAAACTGGATGCTGGTCTCCAGCAGCTTTATGGAAAGCTCTGCCAGCTGGGGGAGGTAATAAGCCAAAGTGGGGGGAAGGGCTCCAGGGCCTTTCTAGGGACCCCCTTCACCAAAAGGCTGGCTCGGCCATTAAGTGTCTCCTGGCCTACTAAACTACCCTGCAAGTGGGCTTTTGGCCCCTTTCTGAGCGAAATTATAGCTACTGCAACTCCTCTGCCAGCTCCCAGTCAGTACCATCCCAGCAGGCAGGCAGGCACGTAGTTGCTCCATCCAGGGGAGGTCCAGCAGCCAACTGCTATACTTTGCCTTTCACAAGCCACACAGTTTACACAGGGCAGGGGCTAAGTGGAGTCAGGCTGCTCCTAGGTGCCAGTCGAGCCACTCCGTGTAGCTACTAGGGAAGTGGGAGTCCAGCGTCACAGTTCCAGGAGTGTCAGAAGCAAACATAGCACCCCAGCCTCAAACCAACAGCACTGACTGCCTTACCCCAAGAGAGGGTTTGCTCTCTTCCCTCTAGTTAGTCTGTTCCCAAAAGGTCAAACTTTCACTACTAGAATTTTTTGGAGTTTTTAAGAGGTTGGGGAAGCAGTCACCCTGTACCACCCTGAAAGCACCACTGGTGTTTGTTTTCATGGACCATAAGGCAGATCCAGCATTGATCCAGATTTTAGTCAACCTCTAAGGACACCCGTCTCTCCTTTATTTTCTACAAAATAAATGCTATGCTAACAAGTGTGAACCAAAGATGTAAGCAATATTCTGGATTTCCCTTTCAAAATAGAACACTCATGAGAGATGAGTCCCAGATCCAGGCTTTCTCCCACCTAACCAAGAGCCACGGAAGTTCCAACATCTTCTAGCTCCACAGCCTGTCAGGCAGTGTCACGAGGCAGGTGCTGTGAACTTAAGCTTTTTTGTGATGTCACAATCCACCTTCCCACCAACAGCTTCCCTTCTAAAGGTATCCAAGTAATTGGGACAGCTCAAATACATTCTGACGAAAAGCCTCCTGGTAGCCCTGGGACAAAGTGACACTAAGCCAATGCTTTCTCTTTGCTAGAGCAGGCCCTGCTGGCTAGATGCCCTCACTGACATGGGCAGCAGTAGGGCAGGCACCCTGCTGGCTGTGGCTAGCCCGCCACGGGCACAGCACATTCCACACATCCCTCCTGCCAATCTTGATGTGATCACCATTGGCAGCTGAGGTCAAACTGGGCAGTAAGTGCAGGACCCTCCAGTTAGCTCTCCTTACAGACCTTCCCCAGGTCTGGAGTACTTCCCAGCCCCTTCACTTCTTTTGTCTGGCCACTGGACTTTTACAAGCTAATGCCACCAGCACCAAAGAATTAAGCCGACTAACCTCCTTGCATTTTAAGACCAGCAGTCCACATGGCTCTATCTGGCAAAAGTCTTCTGCCTCTGATCATTTCTGGACCGTGTAGGAGAAAGGAATAGCAAAGATTAAAATTTTGGGCCAGAGAACACTATTTTTACATAACAGTTTCTTAACCTAAATCAAGGCCTTTGACCTCTTCTGAGGGCTGCCTGAGATTCCTTCATGCTTTTTCTTCAAGCTAAGTCTCTTACTGCAAATGTCCTGTTAGCGCTAACATTCCGATAGTATTTATCCACCCTCTCTTAACAGGGACACATGTGCTCCCCAGTGTTTGCCTGGGATAAGCAGCATAGTGTGATAACACAGAGTGTATTCATCTTGTGTCATTATACAGAAAACGTTTGGCAAATTTTTACATTTTGTTTATGTACTGTATGAGTAACTTATTCTTGAATAATGCAAATTTTGCTATAATGTACAAATTGCTATAAGTGTATTAAAAAAGGTTTTCAGAATCTGAATTTGTTGCCACTGTTTGAGGGCTCTGCAAGACCAAGACTGTTCTCTACCAGTCCTTGTCCTGCTCAAATCTTTTCTCTTTTGTCTTCCTCCTACAAACGGGGTATTAACATCTTTATTAGTAAGTGCTTTGTACATCTCCCTATCTGTACAAAGGGTTTCCTGCCCCCTACTGGTAACAGACATGCCTGGACTGGGACAACTTCAGACTAACGCCACTTTGCGTTTTGGTTCTGGAGATAATTTTGAAAAAGGAAGCTTACGGCGCCAGCACCTACTTGAGGATGTGGACTTTCAGTGCTGCCCAACTCTGGCCAGCCTTCCTCCCGCTGAAGCCGACTGCTAATCCACCAAAGAGAGTAGCTCAGTCTTGTCTTTTTCTAGATACCTTGAACCAGAACTAAAGGTGAAGAAGAGAAGTCATTTGACAACCACCTTCTGAGAGGCTGAAGCACCTGCCTGTCCGCTCTGGCTGCTGTCTCCTGCAGCAGCAGAGCCAACACACACACACACTAATTGGGTATCAGTTTTTAAAACTTTTTTTATTTTTTAATTTTTTTTAAGTTTTTATTTTATATTATCTACAAAGTAAAAGTTTTTCCCTTAACTTAAAAGTTGAGCCACTGTAGACAGTGATCGCCTCATCAAACTTGATTTATAAATAATAGCCTATCGGGAAGGATTTACTGAGCCTCTGTCAAGTTTAGTAAAAGGCGTTCCAAGTCTTGATTTTTTTTTTTTTTTTAAAGCGGTAATAGCAGCAAGAATCACTCTTGTTACTTCTTTTGCTAGCTGATGTGTTCATGACTTTTAAGGGCCATTAAAAAATAAATAACTTCCAGTTTGGGCAAGCAGAGCTGGGGACTTGTGGGAGCACAGCGTGGAGTCATGGAGGGCCCACGAGTTCCTAAAAGCCTCGGCTTGGGCCGGACGCCTTCCACTGCACGCGAGCTGCTGGCATTCCTACTGGATGTTACAAGAGACCAACACAGATTTTAAAACAAAATAAATGAGATCCTAGTTTTCTGTGCTTCCAGTTGGAAGAAGCAGTAGAAGGGAGGAGGGGATTTGGCCTTTCGGTTCCTCCAGGGCAGCCTTACAACTGCTGTTGGTGGTGGGCTTGTACTGTAAGAAAAAGAAGCGGACATTTAAACAGAACGCCGGCAACACCGCACCTTAGCCTAGTGTCTCTGCAGCACGCGACTGTGAACTCCCCTTGTGCTAGCTGAACGAGACTGAAATTCAGTGTGCTTCCCCTCCTATGGGGGGTTCAGTTGGGGGTAGGGGGGGTTCGGGTGGGGGGAACAAACCAGACGTAAAACCACTTCAGATAAAACTCCCAGAAGACTTGTCGCTCATGGGGCAGGAGAAGAGGCCTTAAGATCCCCCTCCCCAAATACTAGCCAAGCACCAGTACTGCTTTCAGAGACACAGGTGAGACTGAGTATCGCCACGGCAGCCATCCAGTAAGAGACATCGCGGGCGTCCTCCCCATCAGGGCACAGGCTGGGGCTGACACTACGCTCAGACCAGTCCACACACGGCACGTGCTCGTCAGTGTTCTCCAAGCTACCATCAGACTCGGCATGGTCATACCCCCCACATGTCAGCCTGTTAGGACTCAGGAAGGAACACACTGCCCTGTCCAGCCTATCGTAACAAGGACAGCCAACTGAGTCCTAGGCCTGCATCCGCTGCGGCTTCTCCAGCCAAATCCTGTATACCATCAGAACACACACAGACTCGGCTCCCTGCGCTGACTGACCATCACAATCCCTCCTGCGCACACTCGGACGGGCCTTGCTACTCTTGGGTGTGGGCCTTGAAGCACTGGCCCTGCCTGCCATTCAAGCTGTGCGAGCAGAATGCTTGGGTGCCCCGGCGGCCCCTGCACACACACGCCTCACCTGAAGGGTGCGTCATATAGGGGAAATGCGCTGTTGTCGAGACTGGAATGGGCTGTAGTGCACTTTGAGCGAGGGCGGCCTGGGGACCGCCGGGTGGCTGTGTCGTCATTAGCATCATTGGCGCATGGGCAGTTGGATGAGAAGGAACCATTCCTGACTGTACATGAGCCTGAAACAGAGAGCTCTTTTACGCATACAGGCAACATCTCCAGCTTACACAACATGTCATCTGTGTTCCTTTCACTGAGCTGCACTCTTAGGAGAGGAGAGGACAAGGGTAGGCCTCAGGCCCCATGTTTCTCTCTGGGGCCACTTCCCTGATTCACCTTTTGGCAGATCCTGAGGGCTGAGATGGCAGGCACCAAGTAAGCCTGGACAAATGACAGGCGTCCTATTGGCTGGCTTCTACGTATGGGACAAGGTTCTTTGGAAAGAGCAGGCCCGATCCGTGATAGCGTTCTGTTCTCTATATGCTATGACGCAAGGTACAGCAGTGCTTCAGATGGAGTCTTCAAGTGGGCCTCAGGTGGTCTGCCAGAGAGCACCCGCTCAGACAGGAAAGCAGCTGACTACCACAGGCTGAGCTGCCCAATGCGTTGTCCCTCCCGCACTGTGGCCTGTTCACCAGGAGTCACAAGAAACCCTCAGGCTTTCTCACTCTCTGGAAGATACGAGGATGGACCAGGAGGAGGAAGTTGTGGCGAATGGCTCCCGTGAGATGGGGAGGGGTAATCTGACGTTGTCTGGGTTGGCCCAGTGCCCCTGTACCAACTCACAGCATACTAAATTGGAAAGGTGATTTCAGTCAGCCCAATGAGCTGGACCCCAGCTCTGCATGGGGTTGGAGGAGCCAGAAAGAGCCCTCATCTCCTGCCTCCCATACTACACACTGTTCTAGACAGTAAACCTTGTATCTACTCTCACATACTCAAATGGACCCATGGCAAATTTGGGCTTCCCTATATTAACCGTATTGCTCTTTCTGCACAAAAACACAAAAGTCAGATTTTAAGGGGATCCCCATCACCGCACAGTAAGTTCACATACCTAACTGAACCACCAACCTCTGCTAACCAACTACAGGCCCCTCACTGTCACAAAGATTGTTCCAACAAAGCACACTGGCTGCACTGGCTCTCCTCCCCACTCAGAAGCCAGTCCACTGCAGTGCTACACTACGGGACCTGAGCTCTGCAGGCAAGGATGGCCACACTTCCCAGCACTGTGGATGCCTAGTGACAAGGCAGCCTTCTGAGAAAACCCAAATGCATCGCGTCTCTCGCCCACACCTTGCCAGAGCCTCCCTGGCACACTACCTGACAGGAAATAAAATTCGGTAGGTAGGACAGCTCTGCTACAAAAGCAGCAGAGACATCTGACGCAGCCAGTTCACTCTAACAGCCCCAGGGAGGGCCTCCAGGGCAGTGCTGACACAGCCTGCAACCGCACCTCTCAACCTCTGCGAGCTGACACTGACCCTGCGGGAGCTCAGTGCTCCCAGGGCTGCTCCACGAGAACTTCCAGTTACACTGCACCAAAGTCCAAGGCCAAGCCCTCACAGGGTACAACACAAGGGCAAAGAGGACAGAGGGACAACCAGGAAAGACAACTGGACACACGTCTCTGAACTCATGGGACTGACATTTAAGCTGAGACCTGGTGAAGGCAGTGCTACACTACGGGACTGAGCTCTGCAGGCAAGGATGGCCACACTTCCCAGCACTGTGGATGCCTAGTGACAAGGCAGCCTTCTGAGAAAACCCAAATGCATCGCGTCTCTCGCCCACACCTTGCCAGAGCCTCCCTGGCACACTACCTGACAGGAAATAAAATTCGGTAGGTAGGACAGCTCTGCTACAAAAGCAGCAGAGACATCTGACGCAGCCAGTTCACTCTAACAGCCCCAGGGAGGGCCTCCAGGGCAGTGCTGACACAGCCTGCAACCGCACCTCTCAACCTCTGCGAGCTGACACTGACCCTGCGGGAGCTCAGTGCTCCCAGGGCTGCTCCACGAGAACTTCCAGTTACACTGCACCAAAGTCCAAGGCCAAGCCCTCACAGGGTACAACACAAGGGCAAAGAGGACAGAGGGACAACCAGGAAAGACAACTGGACACACGTCTCTGAACTCATGGGACTGACATTTAAGCTGAGACCTGGTGAAGGCCTACCATCCCTGCCAGGCTTCCGTGTGTGTGCAAGTGTGTGCAGAGGGTGTATACACATATGCACAGTATCTACGTGGTACTGAAGCTGAGACATAGCAAAGCAGACACAGAAAGGAGAGAACGGTTGGGGTGCGTTCCAGAGTCAAAGATACCTTGAGGGTCTCAGCTGGGAAATGTTAAAGGACTGGCCAGTCACCACTTCACTGACGCCATCACAAAACCACATCAACACTGACTTGAGGGCCAGGTGATGTGTACCGAGCAGGGGGAGGAGACAGGCACATGGCACCACACACAGGGTTCCCTGGCTTGGACAGCACCTGGCTCTTCCCACTGGGCCTGCACAGCAAGGCGGCTCACGCCGGCTTACCTGGGGGACGTGAGCCATGTGAGGTGGGTTGGTGTACGCCGGCTGCACGTGAGAGGGGTGGATGGTGAAGACAGTCTGTTGTGCTGTTGGGAAGCTATTCTGTGGCGATTGTGTATTGGAGGCAGGTGTCATGGCAGGTGGGGTTGGTGCCAGCCCTGCATGGTAAATGGCTGACTGCTGCTGTGGGCTGGCCAGGTGGAGAGCCTGAGCGGCCTGGTGCTGATGGTGCTGTGAGGCAATGGGAAAGAACAGAGAAAAACGTCTTCACTGTCTGATGTGTAAGCACAGGAGGTCCAGGGGAGAGGAGCAGGGGTGAGGGCCTCCTACCCAGAGGCATCCTTTCAGGGCTGCTGAAGCCAATCGATGCTCAGCCTGGCAGTTACAAGTACCAACCAAAGAGAGCTCGGGCAAGACTACAGCCCCAGGGAACTGCCCGGCACCAGAGGCCCCACCTGCTCCAGTGACAACCAAGCACAGCACACATGAACGGCAGGAATGAGACTGTGAACTTTACTTCAGATTTTCAACCTTAGGAAGTTTCTAGAGCTTATCCAATGGCGTTAGTCTCGTGATGTGCCTTAATAGCCTGTCTCTGAAGCCCCGCCCGGGTGGTGGGCTGCTTGCTGGTCCTGATCACGCTAAGAGCGAGCAGTGTGACCAGGACCAGGACGCCATTCTGTGCAGCCAGAGTCTCCTTACCTGAACAGGACTGGGTGCCGGGTGACTTCCACCATGCTGGCTTTGCTGCTGTCCTGTGGGGGTGGCTGAAGGCTGAGGATGCGGCGGATGTGGATGCAGAGGGGCGCTGGGGTGCGCGTACTGCTGAGCAAGGGAGCCTGTGGAAACTGAGGTAAAGGAAAAGGAACGTGTACAACCGTGTGCACTGTCACACCCGCTGAGCCTTCCTAACCGCTTCGGTCCCTAACTCATGCTGCCCTAGCCACTTAAACCATGCGCGACCGCGAACAGGTACAATCAGACTAGCATTTCATTCACACGATGCAGGTGTGTATACTGTGTTAGGTTCTAGTTAGTTTGCGTTTACTCCTAAATGTCACTGGCTTCTAAAAGCAACTTAAGAGCATAGGCAAACACTCAAACAGCACTCATGCACCCCAAGACACAATCTCCATCTGTCTGGCTCTGTCTCTGTCTCTGTCTCTCTCTCTCTCTCTCGAGGCCATCACCTGGCTAACCTCACCATGCTACTGCCCTGCTGCTGGCACAGTGTCCAGTGGGCACATACTGTGGTGGGACTGGTACAGGGGTTATGTCAGCTCTATGGCGAAATCAGGGTCAAATGACTGCCAGCTGAGCCAATTGCAAGCCACTCCACCACTTGGTTTGTTCCCTGGGGCCCTAGTGAGGATCCCCCCACCCTCCCGGCCCCCGCTTTACTTTATAAAATCCAGAAGATCAAACTGCCTAAACTATGTAAAAAGATAAAACAAAACAAAAAAAAACTGAACTCTTTTCAGGGCACCCCAACCCTCAGATAGAATTTTACTAGAGTAACTTCAAAGGAAATGTGGTGAACCCATTTTAAGTAAAAATGTGGTTGCTAATGATAAAAAGCCCAAGCCAATTCTTTATGCATCTCAGTGTAAGTCACACCTTGGTATAAAACACAGAGGTCAGAAACAAAGTCACGTGCTCCTGTCTTCCCAAAACAGCAGACTGAGAAGTGAAAGCCCAGGAAGAGGTGCCACTGCTGCCATTGCTCCAGAGAGCACACACATGGAGCTGGCTCTATGACCTCACTGCTCTAAAGCCAGGGCTCCAGCAGTGTCCAGTTCCTGGTCTCACTCAGGAAGTAGGATCTCTTCTAAGCTGATCCTACGCCCAGGAACGACACCAGAACAGTTCTGACATAATTCATATAATGTGTTACCAGACACAGACTGGTAGGGTCTGACAGGAGAAGCAGGCATGCTTGGAAGTAAGGCACCAAAGGCTGCCCAGACTGGCCAGCATGAACAACTCTTTGTGCCCCATCAACAGTGAGAGGGTTAGGCACAGGAAGCAGTCCTGTAACACGCACTCCAGCTCCAACAGGCAGATCCCTCTGCAGGGCAAGGCAAAGCACCAGTTTTAGGATCACCTGTGCACCCACAGCCAAGGCCACAGCCGGCACTAACAGTCCACAATGCCCAGTTTACATGGAACAAAGCAGCTCTGTTTAGACACTGCAAAAGGCTTCCAGACAGTAAGCGTCAACATAAGGGAACATCTTAACAAGAAAACTGTGGCAACATAGTGTTTTGAGTGTTTTTAAGAGCAATAACCTCACTGGGAGCTGTGGCAAATGGGCCTTCTTGGAAGTCACAGCCCAGGAGTCTGGAAAGATTTTTTTCTAACTGGCTTACTAAAAGACTGTCCTTCACCATTGTACAAGTTTATGGCGTTTTGTTTGTTTCAAACAGGCTCTTGCTAGTAGCCCAGGCTGGCCTCGACCTCCCAAGTGCTAGTATTGCAGGTGTGCCACACCAAACTGGGCAAGTCGGTTTAGCTCCCCCAAATTGTTTAGGCACTGACTTAGTCTAAAACACCTAACATAAGCAGAGTGCAGTGGTGCACACCTTCAGTCCCTACTGCTCGGGAGGCTGAGCCAAGAGAATCACTTTGAGCCCAGGAGTCTGAGACAGGTCTGGGCAATACAGTAAGACTCTGTCTCAGAAAGATTTAAAAACAAACAAAAACCCTGACATAAAATTTGGGCCTGACTTTGCTCTTGTAAAAATCTCACACACATACAAAGTCTAAAATAGTCACAGAGCTCATGGCTGCTAGATCAGACCATGCAGTTCTGTAGTGGACTTCCACCATCACAAGAAGTCCCACTGCACAGTCACACCTACTCGTTTACAGTCTGTGGTTTCACAACACTGACATTAAACCCCCGCCCCCACCAGCTTCTTAACCGGTTCATTGACTGCAATACTAAATCTGTCTGAGGAAAGCAATCCCCAAATTACCTTTGTGGGGTTTCAAATAGGACAGAATCTCAGTCTTTACTCTTTGTTTTTTTTGGTGAGACTTAGGTTTGAACTCAGGGCTTCACACTTGCAAAGCAGGTGCTCTATGACTTGAAGCACACCTCCATCCATTTTGCTCTGGTTATTTTGGAGACGGGGTTGAAAACTATCTGCCTAAGCTGGCCTGAACTGCGATCCTCTCAATCTCTGCCTTTCAGGTAGATTATAGGCATAAACTATGGGTGCCAGTTTCTCATTCAAGAAATTGTATACTATGAAGTTTCAAATTTTAGTTTTAGTTACTTTGTAAGCAATAAAAAAAAAAAACACTCTCCTAATTATATTCATCAATTGGAAAAATGTAAAGATCTTGAAGTTATTTGGAAGGAAAATAAAAGGCAATTTTTAAATTAAAGGCTAGGGTCTCACTTTGTAGCCTCAGCCTCCCCAGCGCTGGGGCTGCTGGCACTAAGTGTAAGTGCTGCTGCTGAGTGCACACTCCAGCATTTGTTTTTAATCCATTTTTTTCTTTTCTGGAGTCAGAGTTTTTGCTATGTTGTCCAGGTTAGCTCTGAACTCCTGGGTTCAGGTGATCGTCCTGCCTCAGCCTCCCCCATAGGTGGACTGCATCACCATTCTCTGCTCTTTCCACACATTTAAAAAGCACCTGGGTGATGTAAACTCACAAATGTTCTACAGCTATAGAATGAAGTATCCTCAGCACGACTACTGCAAAGAACCAAGCTGAGTGAATCTATGCAGACTTTATTTACAAAAACAAAACCAGGAACAAAAAAGCCGTCCTCCTCTTACCTAAAAAGCAGTACTACCAGGCATTATTTTTAAAAATTCAAGGGGCCCTACTAGATACATATGCGCTGCAAATAAAATGTCGTGGAGGGTTAATTAGAAATAGTTTCCTTCACTCATTTTCTAGCTCAAAAGGTATGAGAGCAAGCGTCTCAAGAACTCTTTTTTCCCTTTGAATGTAGAAATGAGCAAGTAATTGGGAAAAATGTGAAACTTACAGTTTAACTGCTAATAACAGAAATACAGTTTGGTTCCTTGAAGTATCAGTTAACAGTGATACAAAGGGGAAGGAGGGAAATTAAAAAGACAAGGGGGAAAAAATAGTTGAACGAGACAGGGTAAAGAAGGAAAAATACAGCACAATTAGGGAAAAGGAGCAGTGGACAGTGAAGGGCTTCTGTTAAGTGTATTATTTAACTGCTTTTGCTTCATCTGCTAATATCAACTAAAGATTCCAAGGAAGCTAAAAACAACTGAATTCTCTCTGAAACCCCAATTTAACTATTTATCCATTAAACTTCTATTTCTATCATGATTCTTCATGAATCTTCTGGATCTGGTCAAGATAATCAAAGGACTGCTTCTTTGAGCCCAACACTGTCCAGAAGTTTCCCACTCAGCGGGCTTCCTGACATAAATATTTACAATTCTAAATATGACACCAGTCAAATCCTTATTAACCACATTCCAAAAACAGTTTCCAGCCAAGCTCCTAACATAAACCAATTCAGGCCATGAGGCTGGCTACGTATTATCTGTAACTAGGATCTGTCATTTTGACCTTGGATGCACAAGTCATGAACAATCACCAGTACGGCAAAAAAAAAAAAATAATAAAAAAAAGAATCACGCTAGATAGGGAAAACCCATTTATAAGTCCTCTAGGGGAAGAAAGGCCAGCTTAGACTTGATGGTGGGGCTGCCACAGGCATCTCCAGGAGGCCGTGCCATCCAGCTGAATGAAGCTAAAATACCCTGACTCTCTCAAACCCTCAGTCATCAACTGAAAACAGAGTGGGTTCTCCCCGTGGAGCTCATGAAGCTATTCAATTAAAAATAACGCTAGAGATAAATTTCTTCTCTACCAGGATACTGAAAAATGACTGTCTTCAGTTTAGGAAAGCTTGTGGCCTGGCACAAAATATTAATAGCTGTTCAGGAAAAGCTTCCCTGAACAAAGAAAATATGAGGATCTGCCCGACAGTCATGTGTGTGCTTGGTATGCAAAAATTCCTTTCTGCATTCACTCAGCTTTCTGAACCTTGGTCACACTTTTCAAAACTAAATTATTTACAAATATACACAATTTTAATGATTTTTTTCTGGCACAAGGAAAACTGTTCAACAGGTCTGCTCCCTTTAACATGTATTCTTTAAAAAGTGTTTTACTGTGTAATTAATATTAGTATAAAAAACCCAACTCACTGGCAAAGTAGAAAGAAGGGCTTGTCTCCTTGCTGTATGGTAATTTGGGACATGCTGAATTTGGAAAATAGAAAGGTAAATTAGCCTTTTGAGGTGTGCATTCTCCTAATTTTCTGGAAAGGTCAACATATTTATAGTAATCTCTCTGTACTCATGCATAATTCATTTTTATTTTACAAGAGCAGATGAGCACTTTAAACAGATTGAAACACAGGACTGAAGTAGGAGACACTTTTCTTCTGTTCTGAGGTATCAAATTCCACGTGCTGATTTGCTTAAACCAAAGGAATAAAAGCATTATCTGATTAAAAAGGAAAAAAAAAAAAAAAAAAAAAGACCAACAAGCATTCCACTGAACAACCTGGATATAGAGAATGTACCCAACTCAAACAGTAAAATTTTAGCAAATTCATTAGACACACAATAGGAATGGCATTGCAGGCTGGCAGGGTCTGAGTGTTCAGAATCGAAGCGGACTGAAAGCCATTTGCGGAGAGGAGGAGGAATGGAGGGCCGTGCGCTGAGGACACACGGAGGGCAGGACGAGCACCGAAGTTTGCCGTGCTGCTCGTGAGGAGGGTGCTTCTCGCCTCTTCTTCCCTACGGTATTTTTGTAAGTCATCTAGGAAGGATTCTGGACCAACCCTTCCAGATGGCTGCGGTTTGTAGACAAAACTTTATTATTACTGTTTCTGACAGGTGAACTCATGGCCATAAAACCAAATAGGTGAACTGAAAACTAGATGTGAGGGCAACAAAAATTCAAGTCACTTCTTAGGATGGTGCAGGCAATGCTGAAAATCAAACTGCATTCAGAGATGAGGTTTGTGACAGGAGTCTTTTCTAAGACAGCTAGAAAGAATGCAAGTCAACAACTTTGGAAAGTGCGTGCCTCCTGCTGTAACACTGTGGTAGGGAGTCTGTCAGCATACTGATATGAAGTATACCAAAACTTTTAAAACAATAGCCATTTTGTGGTCATCAGTACTGTAGATTCTCAAAGCCTTTTGCTTTTAACTATGCCGTAAGAACACCACAAAGATGATGCACCCCAATACCTGGGTGCATTGTCATATGTTTGGATTAAACTGTTTTTGACTGGAGGTGTGGCTCAAGAAGTACAGTGCCTGCTTTGTGAGCATGAAACCCTGAGTTCAAACCCCAGACTCCTCCCCGCCAAAAAAGTTTTACAGCCTACTAAGGATATAGCTTAAAAATCAATATACTTCAAGTTTTTGGTTCCTTTGGGAATATAAAATATACATTGTTCAAGGGAGATGAGCATAAAATCAGCATTACTAGGAAACAGTAATAAAGTACTATGCTGAGCTTGGTAGCAGACACCTATTAATCCCAGCACTCAGAAGTCAGAGGCAGGATGATGGTGAGTTCAAGGCCCATCTGGGCTACAGGGTGAGACACTATCTGGAAATCCAATAAATAAATAAATAAAATTAAAAATTTCAAGGTACCAAAATTTTGTTTGTATTCAGTGTAATAAGGTTTTGAAAGACCTGAAGAAATTAAAATTAATTACTGACAATGTAATGAAGAATTTGCTTTGTCAGATTAAATTATGGTTTATGATGGCAAGGAACACAGTAATTCATTTTCTAGTGTTCTTTTTGTGATACTAGGGTTTGACTTGGGGCTGGCTTCTCACTTGCTAGGCAGGCACCCTGCCATTTGAGGCACTCCGTCAGCCCCTGGTGTTCTTTTTAAGGACCTAAAGCATCTAAAAGAACTCTGCAGCAATCTGCACCTTGCCTAGCCTGGGGCCTGGACACAGCTCACCACCACTGCAGTCGCAGGAGCTCAGGCCCAAAGAGCTGCTCTCTGAAAGCTCAAAGGTTTCAGGCCTTACTCCAAAGAGAATATACCAGAAAAGTGGAGGAAAAATATGCTTTTCCACTTGTTAAATCACAATGCATTCACTTCACTAGAAACGTCTAAACAATCCTAATGAATTTTTCACCTAAGCCTTTAGCAAACTGGAAGACTATTGGATGTGTGCAAGTCCCAAGAAAGCCAGTCTCATGAGTCAAAAGTGCCTTTTCAAATGTAAAGACAAGCTACATGACTGGTGTCATGACAAAACCATGAGACAAATCACTCACTCTATTTTTAAATTAATTATAGACAGACTTTTTCTTTCTTTGGATTTTCTGAGACAAGGTCTTGCTATGTAGCCCAGACTGGCCTTGAACTCATAATCCACTCTGGCCCCAAACACCCAAGTGCTGGGATTACAGGCATGTACCAGCGTGCCGGGCCAACAAGGTGGCCTTCTTAACACACATTTTCTAAAACACGGAACTGCACTACTTTAAAAAAAAAAAAAAAAACTTTCTTGTCTGTTTCTTTATAATAAATAAAATGACAGTTAGCCAAAACATCTTTATTCTTTAGTTTTCAAAAAAGAAACTCTTCTTTTTCTAGGGTAGTCATGATTAACTTAGAAAAATGGGCATTCAGTTTACCTTCAAAGCACTACCCTTTAATGGGAAATTTAGCTTTGTAAACTCTATAAACATTAAAAAGTTTAAAAAGTTCCATTTCCTTTCCATTGTAAGACAAAACAGAATTAGTGCAGGTCAAGGCAATACACTTACTTCAGCTCCATCTCCAGGAACCAGCACTGTTGTATTATTTCCATTTAGTAAAATCTGATCTAATTTGGCAATCCTATTCCTTCTGGTGTGATTTCAAATTCCCTCATCACTCTTCATCACGATGTGAATCTGTGGTCCTATATACTTATTCACCAGCTCTAGTGGGAGTCGCTGTGGCGGGCTGGTGGCAGCATTAGCTGCCATGGCCTGGGTCCATTGACGTTGCAATGGAGACTTTAAAAGTGAAATTGCATTATTTTTTATTCAAAATGCCTAGTCCATAATAAAAAGCCTTAAGTGATGATGTGGGAAGATCAGAGCAAGTATTTATAAAAGTAAACGTCTCTAATCTTTTTAATTCCTACCATAGTGTGCCTGCCCTGTGACAAGGAGGAGCCCCAGGAAGAAAGCACACACTGGAGTGGACGAGGAAGGACGCTGCTGCGTTCTGAGTCCCAGTCTTCAAATGAGTCTGCCTAAAGGTACAACTATCATTTTTAAAAGGAAGACAGAAGGGCTGGGGTGTGGCTCAAATGGTACGGCACCTGCCTGGCAAGTGAGAGGCCCTGAGTTTATTACCCTGGGGGTAACAAAGAAGGTATGAAAAGCAGTAAGTTCCAGAAGAAGGCATTTGTCAGAAATCTGTAAACTCAATGTTATCTGTATACATTCATTCAAGGTATTTTTAAAAAAAATCTTTAAATTCTCATTCAAAAACTGTACATGTTTAAAATACAAAATGTCCGTGTAGTTGTATGCAACGTAATTTCATTCTCATAGCTGGTACTCCTCAATTGTATATTGTATGAATAAACCTATACTTATCTTCATCTTCCAGAAACATGAAATGCCAACAGGAAAACAAATGACAACGCAGGCACTCTCAGAAACACTTAGAACAAAACTACCATCTGTAGTAAAGTGTTACTAGTCAAAGATGTATTTTGAAAAATACAGTGAGGCAACCCATTAATTTGCAAGACATACAAGTAGAAATTTTAAATTTTCAACTGTGAAAAATGAATTATTTTAGTGTATATTTGGACAGCTGCTAAGTTGACCTACTGAAAGTTTTCTGGCTAAAAAATTAAGATAGCTGGTTTTTAAAAATTATTCTTATATAATAAATACTGTTTAACTTTATTTACTTTTAGTATAATTTTGGAGGTAATGGAGTTTGAACTCAGGGCCTCATGCTTGCTAGGCAGGAGCTCTACCACTTGAGCCACTCCACAAGCCCTTTGTTCTTCAGTTATTTTTCAGATGGGGTCTGGTGTTTTGTTCAGGGACAACCTCAGACCACAGATCTCCCTTCCTTTGCCTCCTTCATAGATGGGATTACAGAGGAGAACCACCACAGCTGGCTTATTCAAGATCGGGGCCGGGGGGGTGGGTCCCTCACTAACTTTTTGCCCCAGCTGCCTCAAACTGCAATCCTCCCGATCTCTGCCTCCTGAGTAGCTGCAATTATAGGTGTGTGCCACCGTGTCCAGCACCAGCACTGTTTAATTTTAAATAAAATACTTCTTGTTTTCACTTTTCCATGTTTATACTGATCATATTTAAAGTGTGAATCATGAAGGGGACTGGGATTTTAGTTCAGTGGTAAAGTACCTGCCTGCTATGTGTGAGACCCTGGGGTTTAATCCGCCAAAAAACCCCATCTTGGACTGGGGGCATGGCTCAAGAGGTAGTGCACCTGCCTAGCAAGTGCAAGTATCTAAGTTCAAACCCCAGTACTGAAAAAAAAAAAAAAATTATATTATTACACCATTGGGGTCACTTACAATAAATTCTGACGCAGAAAACACAGCATCATTACAACAAATAGAAACAGGCAATGCCAGTGACCCCTGAGCAAGGAGGGAAGAAGTGTTTTCAAGCTTCAGTGTGTTGATGGCAAACACTTTCTGGCATCCCTTAGGCACCACACCAAATGATAACACCGGTGAGGAAGAGGAAGAAGGCACATTCCTCCTCCAACCCCAAAGATGCTGGCTGCTGTACACATCATCACGTGTCAGTTCAAGTAGGGAGACACAGTGAAGAGTGAGGGATTGTAGACACAGAAGCAGAGATTACATGCAAGACTTAGAAAGCAGGGTAGAAGTAGAGATAAGCTCATCTTTTTGCTTTAGGTTCTTGACCCTCAGTGTCATCAAGGCCAGGTTATTTATTTATTTATTCTTTTTTTTTTTTTTTTTTTTTTTTTTTTTTTTGTTGAGGCAGGGTTTATCTCTGTTGCCCAGGCTGGTTTCCAACTCCTGGACTCCGGGGGTCCTCTTGCCTCAGCCTCCTGAGTAGCTGGAACTGCAGGCTGGTACCACCACAGCTGACTCAGGTTTTTCTTAAACAGTGTCTTTAAAACAAATGAGAAGTCACACACGGAAAGAAACAAAGTTCCTCCTACCATACATCGCGTGCGTCTGTTCATGAGCCCCATACTGAGCTGCTGAGGAGGACACGAGGCCAGGCTGGGCATGTGTCGGTGGTGCTATCATCCTAGCACTGCCCTGTAGGACAGGACTGTAGACATGAGGATGCTGCGTTCAAACAGAAAATAAAGGACATTAAAAATGCCAACAAGAACCAAGTAGATTTTACTTACATTCTTTTATTTTTTTGGGGGGGGAGGATTTACTGGGATTTGAATTCAAGGCCTTGTGCCTCCCAGGCAGCTGCTACCACACTTGAGTCCCACCCCCAGCCCTTACAGTCTTAACTCCATGGATCTCAGAAATAACCGAAAATACTAAAGTCACTCTTGGCTGTTTCCTTTGAAACTCTTACACTGATCAGGAACTTTCACATAAATTTAAAAAGTCCCCAAGTCCTTAGCTATCTACCCCACCATGACATAATGCAAAAAGTGTAAGGGGAAGTCCCTTGACTATATCAACAGTTAAAATTAAATGGTCTTCAAATGGAACCAACACTAAGAACTGGCCCTGTCAGCCTTACCTGAGACTGGTAATGTGGCACGTGCTGAACGAGGGGCTGGTTCGGAAATTGCTGAGGGCTGTAGGCGACATACTGAGTGGAGTAAGCTGGCGGGGTGGCTACGATGGGGGGGCCTGCTGCCGAGGCCGGGTGCATCATGGTGCCCTGGTGGTGCTGGTCTTGTCGCTGCGGGGGCATGTTTGGTACTGGGGGGCAAAGGGAGGAGGAGAGACTTAATGGAAATAGCACCTCCTTAGCATTCCACAGAATAAGTGTTAACACAGGCACTCACATGACATCGACCCTCTTGCGTGACTCTCCAACACCTCATAACACCCCCCATTTCAGCCACAAATGTTATTCCTCAGCCTCAAACACCAGGACATGCTGCCAGCTGGAAGAACCAGCTAGAAAGCCCCATCTTCAGAGAGACAGAGAGACACATCCACAGCACTACCCAATGACTTTTTCTTCACCCTGCTTCTCAGATAACCCGTTCATTTACTTCTTATCTCTACCATAAGACATGGTGGGGGGGCCACAACCTACATTGTTTGATACTTGAAATGATGCCACTTTCTAGGGAAGGGCACTGGGGTCACTTAGGAAGAAAAACAAAAGCATGAACAAGAGCCACAACAGGCCCAGCATCCACCACTGACTCCTCAACACCTCCCTTTATTAAACCAATACCCCACAGCCCAGCATGACGCAGATAATTGACTTGTCCATAGCTCTTTTAAAAAATCTCTCTATGCCTTTCTCCAAAAAAAAAAAAAAAAAAAAAAAAAAGACCAGCCCCAAATGTAAACAGTCCCATGGCTAAGAAATTCTGCTGTCTGCAAAAATCCCTGATTTTGGCACATTTTCAAACATAAGTGTACCTGTCTCACAGGTCGCACAGATGGTAACAGCAGTTTGTAGAAAGTGGACAAAAAGATGGCCTTCTGCAAAGATCCTACTGCACCTCGCAGGAAAACCCCTCTATGTACAAACCCTAACTGAATTTCAGAACCAAGGTCATGATTTCATTTATTATTTGAAAAATATCAAAAGTATCTTGATGCAACACCTCAAAGCATGAAGAAATAAAATTAAGAGTGAGGGCTACAGCTTCATCTACAGTACTTCAGAAACCATTAGAGGAGGCAATGGAAGGGAAGAGCCTGGCTGACTTCAACAACAGAACAATACATCTGAGGCATAAACTGAAGAAACACACACAACCTAGGGAGAAACTTTCAATGTTCCCGCAGATGACGATGTGTTCTTGGAATCTCAGCTCTTTCCTAAGCTCATTTGGAACTTCATTGTGATTGTAGTAAAACTGCCAAGTGGTAAGTCAAATGTTAAAATCCATGACATGATAACATAAAAACCAAACAACAACAAACCATACCTCATTGGTCACCCTGGTAACAGGAAACTTACTTGTCACTTTAAAGACTGCCCTAGAAAGGGGAAAGTTGAGCATGTTCGTTACCTTTCCTGCACAGTAGTTTGATGAGCTTAAGTTTTCCTTTATAGAAATGTTCCAGATACTAATTGAAGGGATGACATCACCATTTTGCAGCCTCTAATGAGATGCTAGATCTAGGGAACACAATGATGACTTCCCCCACAGGGAAGGGCTGTGGAAACGCTATCCTGGACCATTCTGGCAGCAGTTCACTAAGAGAGAGGACAATGCAAGAGTCCCAAAGAAAGCACTAACACTATCCATGAAACAGTCCTTGCTTAGTAACAATGGCAATAATTTTTAAAAAGCCTCTATAATCTGTATCAATTTACAAAGATTACAGGGCACAGAAAACCACTTTGAACACCACACAGGGATGCCTATCAGCAAAATTCAGATGGTGGGAAATACGTGACAAATAAGCAGGATTTAAATAAAATGTAAAGGGGGACAAAACTAAGAGAAAAACTCTAATTACTATTTAGCCAGTGCTGGTGGCTCACACCTGTAATCTTAGCTATTTAGGAGGCAGAGATCGGGAGGATCATGAGTAGAGGCCAGCCTGGGCAAAAAGTGAGACCCTATCTCAAAATATCCAACACAAAAATGGGTTGGCAGAGTGGCCCAAATGGTAGAGCATCTGCCTAGCAAACATGAGGCCTGAGTTCAAACCCCAGTACTTCCAAAACAACAAAACAAAACAAAAACCTATTATTTAAGAAGAGAGTCCAGAAACTCATAAAATAAAAACGCTGCAGTATGATAAATAAAATGATATGGCACCCAGGATTTGTTTCAAAATACCACAGTCCAGACAGCCTAAGCAGTTAGTTATGAGGGCTGGGGACACAGCTCAGTGGTAAGAGTTCTCAGCCAGCGTATGCAATGCCCTGGCTTCATCCCTAACAACAAAAACAACTGTAAGACACATGGTATGGAGGGCCGGGTGTGGTGGTTCATGCCTCCAATCCCAACTACTAAGAGGCAGAGATCAGGAGGATTGCAGTTTGAGGCCAGATTGGGCATCTTAATAAACAAGCCAGGAATGGCATCCACCTGTGGTCCCAGCTACACAGGAGGGTAGGTGAGAGGATCATAGACCAAGGCCAGCCCCAGACAAAAACACAAGATTCAACCAAAAAAAAATAAGTAAAACAAAAAACAACGGGGGGCGTGGCACAAGTTGTAGAGCATCTGCCTAGCAAGCTCGAGGCCTGAGCCCAAACTCTAGAAGAGGGAAGAAAGAAAAGTATCAAGTAAACATGAGTGCCTAGATTTGTTAAAGTTGTAAAATCTTTGTAATAAAAAGTTACTTCAAAAACTTCAAAGACTAGGCTGAACAGCAGAGCGCAAGCGCAAGGCCCTGTAGCTCAAATCAGTACCACCAAAACCAGACTTGAACGTGAGCAATTAACGCAGCTTATAAACCTCACTGGGACTCTAAGATATAATCTTAAAAGATAAAAAGTTGAAAATATTACAGAACTGCTTTTAATTCTTCATAGGTGGGATATTTGTATTGTAGGTTTTTAAGATTCCTTATCTTTTAAGAAACACAAAATGAAGCATTTGCAGATGAGATGATATGCGATAGAGATGCATTAAAAAATCTGAGGAGCAGGGAGAGCAGAAGGAAGGGATAACAGCACCCTGGCTACCATGAGAAAAATGGTACTGTTTTTTGAAAAACTTCACACTCACTAGAATTAAATGACATAATGTCTGGGATTGTTTGAAATCTTCATCAAAGAAAAAATTACAGCTGGGAATTGTGGCTCACGCCTGTAATCCTAGCTACTTGGGAGGCAGAGATCAGAAGGATCAAGGGTTTGGAGGTCAGCCCAGGTAAAAAAGTTATTGAGATTCCGTCTGGGCATGGGAGCATGTACCCGTCATCCCTGCTACACAGGAAGTATAAATATGACCATCGTGGTCCTAGACATAAACATGACATCCTATCTCAAAAATTACCCAAGCCAAAAAGGGCTGGCGGCATAACTCAAATGGTACAGCACCTTACCATCCCTAAAATAAATGAATAAATATGGCAAAATTGAGGTAATCATAGAATGTGAACGATGGATAACAGCAGCAAGTATCTAATTACTTCCCATCTTTTTAGCACATTTGGTTGATACTCTTTTTTTTTTTTTTTTTTTTTTTGGTAATCCTGGAGTTTGAACTCAGGGCCTTGTACTTGTCAGGCAGGCACTCTGCCACATGAACGACTGCCCCGGCCCTTTGACTTTACATATTTTACAAACAGGTGGCCTGGACCTTGACCCTCTATGCTTTCTGCCTGGCTGAGATGACAAGCTTGTATCACCACACTCAGCTTTTACTGACTGAGATGATGTCTCATGAACTTTTTGTCCAGGCTGGCCTTGAACCTTAATCTTCCTGATCTTTGCCCCCTGAGTAGCTAAGATTACAGGACTAGGCTATTCCACCTGGCAAAATGACCTCCCGCTAGGCAGGTGCTCTACCACAAGCCAAGTCCCCAGCCCCTATTCACAACTGGCATTCTTGATAGTGTCCTATTCTGTACAGGGAACAATGCTCAGAGGATATGATCTCCATCTACTAAAACGGCAGAGCCTCCTGAAGTCAGAGTGGATCTCACACATCAGAACACTGCCACGCTTGCTGTTAATCATGAAACCAGTAACGCCAGCAGTAGTGCAAGACCGTCTTAATACTCCACTGCAATAGCACTTAGAAAATCCTTTTCTTGGGGTGGATGTGTGGCTCAAGTGATAGAACCAAGCAAAAAGCCCTGAGCTCAAACCCCAGCACCACTATAAAGAATTAAATCAATAAAACTTCTTCCCTAAATGGCTTGAGGCCTTCACAATAAGATAAATTCCTATTACTCAGGGTTACTTCAAATAACTCAAGGTAGAGTTTTTTCAGGGAGTTCAAGTGTTCTAAGGTCAAAAAAAAAAAAAGATTACAAGTTTTAGTTAACACCCACAAAGACATACTTACTTCAAACATTGAAGAACTCTTACCAACTTAAGAAGAAATGAAATTTGTATGCCCATAAGGTAACTAGTACGCACTGAAAAACATTTTTTCTATGTAAGTCCTTGCTTCTCAATAAAATGTTACAATGAATTGCTCTGGAATAACTGGATGGCAAAACAGGATCCTTCAGCATCTCTCAAAACTCTACGATTTCCCATGATTACACGTTCATTTTAAAGAGAAAGAAACACCTCTCTAGTAGGATTCTGAAATTAGTTTCTGAAGTGGGTTGCACTCTGCTTCAAAAGATACAGATTTGGGGGAAGTAATTGTAGGTTAATGTAAAATAAGGTCAAGAGTCTAGAAAATTCACCTAGCAAGCCCTCTTTCAAGTTTTATCTCAAATGTAAGTTTGCATTTCAGGTTGTGTATTTCAGATGTCAGTAACTGTTTCTGAAGACGAAAGTGAACAATCCCAATCAGTAAGCACTTTAATGACGGTTATCAGAACCTCACCAAAGAACAAGGCTTACTCGTGCCCACTCCCCTCACAGCTGTCTCACCATGCAGCATGCGGTCTACAAGCAAACACAGGCAGAATATTCTCACCTTTACCTGCTCTATAGGTCTTGGCTTGGTTCACTGGCATGGGAGTCATGGGTATTGGGTACAAAGGCTAGAGGGGATTAAAAAAAATAATAACATTAGGTTCTCATGATAAGAATGTATCTCATTCCTCTCTTGGTTTTATCTCGCAAGAAAGCTAGCTGTCAGGTTTCCTGACTCACTCTATGAGTCATTAAAAGGGCTGGAGATACAGCTCAGTGGTAGGGCAGTTGCCTGGTTTGCACAAGGCGCTGGGTTTCTCCACCACCCTCTTCCCCAAACAAAACACCACACCTTCTATAAGCTATTTAAACTAAAATTATACCCAGTTACAAGAAAAAACCCCAAACCACAATAAATCTTAAGACACAAGTCATCTTTCCCACCAGACAATATCTGCAGATTCAGACCTTTCTAGTAATACCATACCATATCACTGTAGGCCTGTTTCCTTGCACTACTTCTCAAGTCAGAGCAAGACTAAAGAGTGCTTGTGCCAAATACCAACAGCAAGAGTGGCTAAATGAACACTGCTCCAATGACTCACTTGCACGCCTGGGCTCACTGGGACTGGATACATCACATTTGGTGCAAAACAAACAGGCTGAGTGTAAACGGGAGTTGGCTGTTGATGGCCCACCATAGATGGGCTAGGTTGTGCTTGAGGCCGAGGTGAAGTTGGGGTGGTAGAAGGCTTTGGCTACAAAAACAAAAGTCAAATTCAACATCTCAGATGAAAAGTTAACTATTCATTCAATCTGCAGACACATTCCTCGAAACTGTCCACTGTTTACTTGCTTTTAACTAACATTGTTTATTCAAAAAAACTGAAAACAATCCCAGAGCCTAGCATGGGTGAGACTTGATTTTGATTCCCAGCACTGCAAAGCAAATTTGGGATTGGGGATGTAGCTTAGTGCTAGAGCTTGCACTGAATCCATGTGCAAGGCCCTGGATTCAAAAACAGAAGAAAATAACAAAAAACCACAGAAAACAAACAAACAAAAACATTCAAGTATACAGCTAAAGTAAAATTTTGCCAGTGAAAAATTATTATTAGGCTGGGTGCATGGCTCAAGTGGTAGAGCATTTGCCTAGCAAGTTCGAGGCCGAGGCCCTGCCCTGAGTTCAAACCCCAGTGCCTCACACTCTCTCTCTCTCTCTCTCTCTCTCTCTCTCTCTCTTCTCTCTCACACACACACACACACACACACACACACACACAAATACATACATATGGATATACACATATATAAAAAATAAACACTGGTGGTAGTGAATATTTAAGAAATCAGATAAAGTATTTTTAAATATTTAAAAAAAATCTTTCATTTATGAATTCAGTAGAATAGCAACAGTGTACCTAAGAGCTTGACAGCCTAGCTAGTCCACCATCTTCAAATTCTGAATGAGAGATTCAAAGATTTATCCAAAATCACATCATACTGGTGACAAAACAAGAACCTTTGTTTCTGACTAAAATGTAATTCTTAATGACCACACGAGAAAAAGAAACTAAGTTACATTAGTGCATTGACTAGGGAAGGAAGGTAATGGGAGAAAGACTAACACTAATTGTAATGAACTTTGTCATTTGGAGACTAGATCATCTCAAAAAAAGCTATACTTACCTGAGAAAAGGAACGAGGGTTGAATTCCTTTGCATTTGGATTCAATGTTGATTTCCTAACTTGCCTAAACCAGAAAAAAAATATATGCCAGTGAAATCTGTACAGAAATCATTTCTCTAAACTCTTTCATACCTGACAATTTTTTAAATTGCTAATATATCAGATTTCGACAATTCTCTCTAATCATAAATCCTCTTCATTAAAATTCTCACACATACCCTGATACATAATACTTAACTCTGAAAAAGAAATTGGCCACACAAGGACAAATGAAGACAAAATAAAAGTACTTATCCCAAAGGCAATCAACAGATATTTGAACTGAAGACAGTACTCCCTTATAACATGTCCTTAAAAATCAGTTCTTAGTACACTGATACAGGACATGCAGTGTTTCTGGGTTTTTTTTTTTTGGTTTTTTTTTTTTTCATTTTTAATTTTTTTGGAGAGTCACCCTTTGTAGCCCAGACTGGCCTTGAACTCGGCTTCCCGAGTGCAGGGATTACAAGTACGTGCCACCAAACCTGGCAGATGCAGTAATTTTACTGTGCTAGTTTTTAACATGATGTTGGGAACAAGGAGTCCCTCAACAAGCTGCATTCCAAAAGTTCAGCTGTTAATACCAGGTTGTCTGGAATGCAGGACATATAAATCAATGGTTATCAGGCTCTGAGAACAGGCCAAAAACTCATGTAACTAATGACATGGCAGATATGCAGAATTAAGATCTAAGTAGTAAGTAAAGCATTGTTTCTGATGGCAGGGCCCCAGACCCTTCATTCTCCCCTCAAGTGTGCAATGTGTAACTCTTGTAGCACATAACGATGAATCCTGTCACTTTTCAACTCTTGTACATTTATACAAAAAGCCTTCTTAATTTATGCCTAGGGTTTGGTCCCAGGGTATAGACATAAGGATAGAAAGAGTGGCAAGAGTGCAATGACCTGATTACCTCAGATGTTACTTGTTTAGACCAGCTGTTGGTCAGTAATAGCTACTTACAAAGCAGTCTAAAAGTCCACAGAGTCTTGAGCTGGAAGGATGTACCTTAAAAAGTTATTTGAACAGGAGGATGTGTTAAATTCCAGGTTTACTCACTCAGCTGCATCTTTCTTCTCCTCTTTATCGTCTTTGTCTTGTTTACAAGCTGGACTGGAAGTCTGAACGCCCTGTGATGTGACCTCGGGTCCCCTCTTGTGCTCCGTGTTACTAAGTATTGAAGGGGAGACACTGGGGCTGCTCGGCTTGCTGCTGCCACTGGTGCAGGTGCTGCTGCTATTTTCAATGAAAGAATCCTTAGCAATTGGTTCAATTTTATCTTTGATCAAATCCCTTGATTTTTCTCCCTCTCTACTTTTGTTTAGTAGTTGATCCGTAGATTCAGACGTAGAACTTGGCTGTAACTAAATAAAGGAAATAATTTTTTCATGAGTACAAGAACAATATTATCTATGGGCATGAACTGTTTTTCCATAAGGCTTTTTTACTTTTATTTATTTTTTTACATTGTAAGGGTAATGTTTGTATCATAAGACAACAATAACATCTCTATAATGTCTCTACAACACAACTATAGTCATCAAAGCAATCAAATGTCTTAGCATCCCTGGGCACTGGTGGCTCCTACTACTTGGGAGGCTGAGATGAGGATTTTGGTTCAAGGCCAGCAGAGGCAAATACCTTGGAGAGACTCCATCTCCAAAATAACCAGTGCAAAATGAGTGGCGGTGTGGCTCAAGTGGTAGAGCACAAGCTTTGTAAGTGTGAAGCCCTGAGTTCAAACCCTAGTTGCTACTCCCACCCCCCACCAAAAAGTCCAAGCCTCAATAGTGAAACACACACTGCTTGCCTATCCCATGTCAACAAGTATGCTGCTGGGTATACAAAACATGAAGTAGTTTCTATTATCTTGCACTTGCCATGTGAGTAAGATCAAACACTGAACAGCAAAATGCTCCAGAGCCCATAGAGAAACCAGACTCTAGGAAGGAAAGGCTTCTCAATGGAACTGCTGCCTGGTATGAATGATGTTTTCGAGAACTGTCTAGAAAAGGAAACAGCAAATTTAAAAATCTACAGGAAAGGGAGAAGATGGCTTCTTGTGCAGAAAGAAAAGCACTGGTGGTTAGAGCAAGGGAGCACCCACAGGAAGCAGGGAGGCAGATGAGCCAGGTGGGCTTAGGAGGGATCCAGAGGGTGAAGAAACGAGCATGCTGGGCAGTTAAACTGTACATGCGCGCCATGAAACTCTAGCCGAGCGCCGTGGTGCACTCGGAAGGCTGAGGCAGGCGGATGACTGAGTTCAAAGTCAGCCTGGCTTACATAGTAAGCCCCTGTCTCAAAACAAAACAAAACAAAACAAAAAACAAACCCACCAACAACAACCATCGAAGCTCTGGCCATTGAGAAGGGCAGGCAACCGAGGAATTACTGAAGTAAGTTGGGTTTTTTTTCCTTTATTTTTTTGTGGTAGGGTTTGTAAGTATGCAGACCAGACTAAATAAATACTACCATTGGTGAGAGATGATTCAAGATGCCATCCTCCACCAAAGAAAGGAAATGGGGACATCTGAAAGAAACGACAAAGGGCTGGTGGGGGGCTCAAGTGGTAGAGCACCTGCCCAGTAAGTGTGAGGCCCTGAGATCAAATCCCAGTACTGCTAGCTAGCTGGCTAAATAAATAAATAAATAAATAAATAAAATTAGGAATGACAAAAAGAGGAGAAAGATAGCAAGCAGTAGTAGCAAATGGCAAAATCAAGACAGACTGGAAGGGCATCCCAGGTGGTGAGAATGAGGTCTTGAAGAGGTTAGTTACACAGTAGAGACCCTCTCAGCCTCAGCACAGGCAAACCAACTCCTAGGTGCCCCCAGTAAAGCCCAGAGGCAAGCGATACTTGCAGCTCTGGGCAGCTCGAGATTCACTGCAACGTCGATGTAGTAGGTGTCTAACACAGCTGAGGGAAAAAGGTGATAGCAGGATTTATTTTGGACCCAGTAAACGATTTAAGTCACAATGTAGGAACTTAGTATTTAGCCTGAAAAAATAGTATTTTTTGCTGTTGCAATTATTCTTATAATGGAAAACTTATTTGTGGTGCTTACTATGGGGATGGACACCATTCAAAACCATTTACAGATTTATTAATTCAGTCTTTACAACAGCTCTATTTGATGTAGGTATTATTGCTGCCATTTTTACAGATGGCAAATTCATGGAGAAATGAAGATACAATTCAGTTTGTGTGGAGCAGGGGTGAAAAACTGGTGATTAAACCCAGGGTCTCACACATGCTAAGCTCCAGCTCTACCACTAGCTACAACCCTAGCCTAAACAGAGATCCTTATGTAACTCAGAGACAAAGAAAATGCCAATAGCCAGCCATGAATATTTTGGGAATAGGAAGTAACATGTATTGTGTGAGGCAACATCTCATTTAGCACTCATGAAAACAGACTCTGCAATTACACACAATTATTCTACAACTGACCTGAGAGAAGTGTAGAGCATGTGGTATGGGTGGGGTCAAAGATCAAACACAAGCTGGGCACGAGTGGCCTCCCACGTGGAATCCTAGCCATTTAGGAGGCTGAGATGGGAAAATCAGTCTCAGGCCAGCCTGACCAGAGAAGCTTACAAGTTCCTACCTGGGTGGAAACGAGCTGGGCATGGTGTTACACCGACCTGTCTTAGAAATGTCGGGAAGTACAAAATAGGAGGATTGCACTCAAGGTTGGCCTGGGCAAAAGGTGAGACCCCATTTCCAAAATGACCAGAGCAAAAAGGTCTGGAGGCATGGCTCAAGCGGGACAGCACCTGACCAAACATGCACAAAGCCCTGAGTTCAAACCCCAGTACCACATTAAAAGAAAAAAAAAAAAAAACCCACAAAATCCAACTCAGCTGCATTTACTTCTAAATCCTTAATACAGCACATTACCAATAATTTTAATTAAAAGCTTCTCACTCTATCAACACTATGCACAGACATACTAGAGCCTACAGATAGCTCTCAAGGGAAAAGGGGATGAGGCAAATAAAAAGTAAAACCCCACAGGGTATTCTTCCTTCTGTCTCGATCAAAGACGAGAATTTTGTGAACACAAGCAGCTTATGGCCATGTGCCTGTCACGAGGTGGCTGTGACAACTCTTTGCTGAATGGGGTAGCATGCACTATGTATTAGCCACTGTTCAGAGCACTGCCAGAAGCTCAAACACCAGATGGCCAGGCCTGTCATTTACCAGCCATATGACTCTGGACAAATGATTCAAGTTCATTGCTTCAACTTCTTCATGTATACACTGCAGATAATACCAGAACTTGCTTCACAGGGAGGCTGGGACAGTGAAGGACATAGCACTTAGAATTGTGTCTGTACACAGCAATCTCAGCTAGTAACACGATTTCACCTGAAGAGAACTACGATAAAGCTCACCCTCAGTTTTTGAAAACCATTTCTTTGCTTTCTCGCATTCACTTATGTATCACAGACTTATTCCTAAGAGACTAAATAAAACATGGTTATCCACACTCCAAAAAGTAGTAAGACTAATTCCCAAAGAGGCAGACTTTAATGCTATTGGAACTTAAGAGTTAAGCATTAATAAAAGTTCACACAAAGCTGTGAATTAGTAATATTATAGCCAAAATATTTCCTATTAAACGAAGAAGTTAGCCTTTCACAATACATCAACTATAATTGACACAGTATGGTATAAGGATAAGATATACAGTAAGCCTACCTTATTCTAGGATTACAGGTGATTTTCACCAATCGTGTTCAGAATAAGTATGTAAATAAATAAATAAATAAAAAATCAGGGCTGGGGACTGGCTCAAGCAGTAGAGCATCTGCATAGCAAGTGTGAAATCTTGAGTTCAAACCCCAGTACCACTCCGTCCATAAAAAAAAAAAAAAAAAAAAAACCCAAGTCATTTCAAAACCAAAATTTCTATTTTTTTTTAAAAGTTTTATTTTATTTATTTTTTTTTTATTTTTCTTTTATTATTCATATGTGCATACAAGGCTTGGTTTATTTCTCCCCCCTGCCCCCACCCCCTCCCTTACCACCCACTCCACCCCCTCCCGCTCCCCCCCTCAATACCCAGCAGAAACTATTTTGCCCTTATCTCTAATTTGTTGTAGAGAGAGTATAAGCAATAATAGGAAGGAACAAAGGGGTTTTCTGGTTGAGATAAGGATAGCTATACAGGGATTGACTCACATTGATTTCCTGTGCGTGGGGTTACCTTCTAGGTTAATTCTTTTTAATCTAACCTTTTCTCTAGTTCCTGGTCCCCTTTCTCCTATTGGCCTCAGTTGCTTTTAAGGTATCTGCTTTTAGTTTTCTCTGCATTAAGGGCAACAATGCTAGCTAGTTTTTTTTAGGTGTCTACCGTATCCTCACCCCTCCCTTGTGTGGCTCTCGCTTTTATCATGTGCTCATAGTCCAATCCCCTTGTTGTGTTTGCCCTTGATCTAATGTCCACATATGAGGGAGAACATACGATTTTTGGTCTTTTGAGCCAGGCTAACCTCAACTACAGAATGATGTTCTCCAATTCCATCCATTTACCAGCGAATGAATAACATTTTCGTTCTTCTTCATGGGCTGCATAAAATTCCATTGTGTATAGATACCACATTTTCTTAATCCATTCGTCAGTGCTGGGGCATCTTGGCTGTTTTCCATAACTTGGCTTATTGTGAAAGTGCCGCAATAAACATGGATGTGCAGGTTGCCTCTGAGTAACAGTCTTTTGGGTATATCCCCAAGAGTGGTATTGCTGGATCAAATGGTAGATCGATGTCCAGCTTTTTAAGTAGCCTCCAAATTTTTTTCCAGAGTTGATTGTACTAGTCTAACATTCCCACCAACAGTGTAAGAGGGTTCCTTTTTCCCCGCATCCTCGCCAACACCTGTTGTTGGTGGTGTTGCTGATGATGGCTATTCTAACAGGGGTGAGGTGGAATCTTAGTGTGGAAAAACCAAAATTTCTAATTCCTGCTACAGGTGTGGCTCAAGTGGAGAGCACCTTCCCCTGAGTTCAAGCCCCAGGGCTGCCAAAAGTAAAAACAAATCCAAAAAGATGAAATTCCCACGTGTGCATTACACAGTTCAGCCGCTGCAGAGAAGCTCTCACCAATCTCGAATTATTGTCACTTGTTTAAACCACTGTTTCACCTGCTGTCTCTCTGCCCTTTTGTTTTTTGAAAATCTGCCTCCTAAACTCCAGTGTCCAAACGCAAGGTAAAGGTTATGGCAATCCTCTAAAGCCAAAAAGTACAAGTAATATACTTAATTTAAGTGACAAGTGAAAATTTTAGCTTTGTTGTCTTTGGTGGCAGTTGGGTGGCATTAAGGGAAAAATGATTCAAGCCCCCACAGTACACTGCTGAGCTCTCTGCACCCTGAAGTACTGTGGTGTTTTTGTATGTGCATTTGCTGGGACTTTTTGGACAGTCTTGTGCTAGGCAGGTGATCTATGACATGAGCCATGCCCCCAGCCCTTCATGCTCTGCCTATTTTGGAGATAAGAGTCTCGCTTTTTGTCCAGGCTAGCCCGGACCACAGCCCTTCCCAAGATAGCTGGGATGACAGGTGTGCCATTATGTCTAGCCTTTTCCCATTCAGATAGGGTCTCATGAACTTTTTTGCCCAGATTGGCTTAGAACCATAATCCTCCTGATCTCAGCCTCCTAGTAGCTTGGGATGACAAGCATGAACCACTGCACTCAGCTATTGGTTAGGTGAGGTCTCAAACACTTTTTTGCCCAGGCTGGCCTCCACAATCCTCCTGATCTCAGCCTTCCAAGTAGGAGTGATCACAGGCACGGGCCATCAGTGCCCAGCTGTATTAGCAGTTTCTCCTCAGCGGAGGTCTTCTTGAAACCACACACCAAGGATGGATATCATGGGTCTGCTGTACGTAACAATGGAGAATTGAGTAACCAGTAATAAATTTTCCCATTTGCAGTTAAAACTGACATTCAACAAGAATGTGAAGACAATTCAACAAGGGAAGAACTGTATAGAGATAACTGATATCTACATGCAAAGGAATAAACTTGGACCTCACCTCACAGCATGTCTCTTACATATATTCTCAAAATGGATCATAGCCCTAAAGGAAACTCTTAGGTACTTCAGCCAGATGAACCTTGAAGATATTACACAAGAAGCCATGTACTGGATGGCTCCACCAAACACATGCAGAGTAGACTAGTAGCTGCTTCGGGAAGGGAGGCAGGGAGGGCTGGGCAACAGGGACGAGCTGCTCAAGAGTTCAATGTTTCCTTTGGAGGATGATGCATATGTTCTAAGATAAACTGTGGTGATAGTTGCACAACACCGTGAATACGCTCAAAACCACTAGAATTTTAGTTTAAAGGGTAGTATATATGCAAATTCTTCATACAGCTGGTAGACAAATATATACTATGAGGCAAAACTATTTTCTTCTTTCATAATATAATAAATTCAACACCAGTGTACTATAGACAGGGACTGATTGGTTATAAAAACAGGTAATGCTGAGGGGGGAAAAAAAAACAAAAACAAAAACACCCAAAGGGCAAGAATATCTACATGACATCTTTTATATCAAACTTAAGATTACACAAAACAGTATCACTTATTGGTTAGGAACCCGTTCCCAGTACAGTGTGAGTAGAAGGAAACATTCCTCTGGAAGGGAGGAGGAAGAAGCAGTTGAAGAGGGCAAGTACACAGAGGAATTTACACTGGAAGGCTTGACTTATGAAACAGGGTAGTAGTCACTTACTCATTATTCTTTGTATTGTCTGTGTTAACAAATGACAATTTTAAAAACTATCAATAGAATTAAAGCTAAGTAGCTACATGTGCTGAAATATGAAACAACATGCAAAATTCTCATGTTATCAGCAAATCAATAATGAAACCATTAGTTAAAAGTTAGGACAGTCCCCGTATCATCTTGGGGTTAGGATTCCTTGTTTTTACCCAAGTGGCCTGGGTTCCACTCCCAGTATGAGATGCACCCATTGTTTGCTGGTGGAGTGGCTCAAGTGGTAGAGCACCTGCCTAGCAAGCATGAGGCCCTGAGTTCAAACCCCGGTATTGCAAAAAAAAAAAAAAAAAAAAAAAAATCAAACAAGCAAGAAAGGAGCTGAGTGCCAAGGGGACCTGCCCACTCAGAAGCCAGATTCCCAGCTGGGAACTGGCTACTACCAGGTGATTCATAATGAACAGGGTAACTCAGAATCATGAGCTCTAGAAGAGCAGATCACTTCAAACTCAGTGTAGACCACTCCTGCTGCCCCAGCCCCTGAAACTGACTCTTCTCCACCTTAAAGGAATATTACTGTAGAAGGACCTACAGGTTCAGACACACAAGTTTAGAGTGAGTTTTCTCCTGTTTTACCTCCCTGTAGTGCTGCTACCTCTCCCTAGGTACAACGAAGCTGAGAAAGCCAAAGTGCTGTGGTGGCAGCACCTCAGAGAAATCAGGAGGCAGAGTGTGGGCCAAGAAATGACTTCAGTGACACAGACACACAGAGTGGGGGCCAAGAAATGACTTCAGTGACACAGACACACAGAGTGGGGAACGACAGCATTCTTATGCTGGAGATTCTCATGGCATTTATTTTCAACTGGCTTGGATTTTGTCTATCTTCTGTATCACCAGTATCCCACCTGGAAGGTATGCTGCTATCGGTGGATTTGGCCTTTCATTGATCAAATGGATCCTTATTGCTATGTTTTCTGACTACTTTACTGGATATTTCAAAGGACAATAGTGGTTTAGGTGGGTATTTCTTATACCTGACCTGCTTCTTTTCTTCAGAGAATTTGAAAAGTTAGAAACATGTCTGAAACTATAGCAGCTGTTAATAGAACAAGATATGTCTTACAGAGTCTGCATCAAGCCAACATTCCCTTCTTATACCAATGTGAATATTCCAGATTATTTGCAAATCTGCAACTTTAGTAGGATAGAAGACCACCAAAAACAGAAGAAAAATTAGGGAACAAAAGATGGAGGTTCAAGACTGAGGGTCAGGTGTTTATGATTTTAAAAGCCCTTTCTGTCCAGGCCTTCGTTATCTGTATTTCATTTGTTTTACTCATTTACATATATACCTACTTAGATTTGCATAAAGCTGGTTTGGTTAATCGGTGTCTGATATAATCAGTGTTTGATAAAGTCTTCCCGTATATAAATGTCGCTGGCTTGACTTGATGGCTAGTATACTAAAATGACATTATCAACCTTGTCAAATGCTTTTGTCTCCAGCTTAGAGATTCATCTAGTAATTCTATACATGAATTATTCTTTCATATACATATGAAATACATACGTACATAATATGTATTTATTGAAACTCACAGTGACTATCAGAAAGAATTTGTCAGGTTTTTTAACATGCTGTTACTTAGGAAGAATTTTATTGTAAATAATCGAGCATAAGTTACTTTTTTACATTATTTTCTTAGAAATTGTGTCTAGATATCTTTTTATTAATTTAAGTGAAGTGAACTAAATATACACAGAAACTTTGAATGTTAAAGATAGAGTGGTTTAGGATAAATTTTAAGAAAATGTGGGTATATCAAATGTCCTTTAGAAGAAAAAAATTTAAGGGACATACTGATTTTAGGGATTTTTCAAAGACTGAGTTTTAGAATTATCTGTTTCAGAGATTCTAAAAGACATTTTCTTAGAAATTTAAGATGAAAAAGTTAAGTTTACAAATGTGACATTCTTACTTGCATTTGTCTTTTTAAAAGCCAATAAAAATACCTTTCAAAAATGATAAAATTTTTAAAAAATTACCTTTCAATACCGCTGTAATGATTTGTCTTTAGATGTTTAAACTTAGCCAGCAAAATCTTTTTTTGTTAATAGCTCCTTCCTTTACGATTGTACAATGAATTGATTTGTAAACTCATAACCTGAACTGAGATATGTGAAGCACCTGCTGTCCAGCTGTGGAGATGCGTGTGGAACTCAGGTGGGCAGGTGCAGTGAGTGGGTGCCGCCATGCCTTCATTCATAAGCCAGTTTGCATAGTGCAAATTATTTTATGTCTCATCTGTTTTTGACTTTTATCTTTGCTTTTGAATGCCAACATTTAAAATTATGGAAATATTATTATTGTTTAAACTTAAAAATCACTTAATACAGCTATATGGAACATATAAACTATTTATTCAATACTGACTATTACTAAAAGTAGTTTGAAATACTACTGCTACTAACTATTCAGGGACATTTTTCTGTTTTTGAAAAAATAAAGTTCATAATGCTTTATTTAAAAAAAGTTAGCAAAGATTAGAAGAAATTTAGAAAGGTGGAACCCAGGTTGGAAAAGGCTGCTTGTGCTTTTGATTCATTTAACGTCTAAGACAGTCATTTTTAAATAGGGTTTTTTGAAGGGTGGAGGATGGGTTTGGTAGTACTGAACACAGAACCTAAGGCCTGGTGCATGCTAGGCAAACACTTAACCACGCGGCCTAAGCAAGTCATTTTTTAAGGCTGACAGTCAGACTTCTCCCCTCCAGAAAGCTGTTTTAAGACTTCTTGAGTTACTCTCAAAATCTACCCTGATATCAGTAACATATTTCTGTAAATTTTGTGCACAAGAATGAGATAGTCATAAAGGAAAGTTCAGGGTGTGTCCAGAAAAGCCTGTCTTAAGAAAGAGAAATGTATTCTAAAAAACTTCTACAAGGGGGATTCAGTGTGGCAGAGCTTCCCTAAGTATGCACAAGGCCCTGGGTTCAAGCCCTAGCCCTGCAAAAATAAGTAACATAAAGAGAAGAAAGACTTCTACCACCATTAGCACATCTGCTCACAAAGAGGAAATCCACAGCTTCCTCAGCACACCAGGCTCCTTTACACATTCCACTCACCACACCAGAAAACTAATAGCTTGGCCTTCCTCTATTAAACTCCAGCTCCACTGAGCAAGGTAATCAAAGAATACCACATAATAAGTCTGTGAGAGCTTCACATGGCAGTTACACACTTTCATTTGATTCCTGCTCATTTTATTAGATCTTATGATTTTAGGTTATCCCACCTAAAAGGATAAGTAAAAACAACTTTCAGAACATTTTCAGCAACATGGTTTAATGTTTCTGCATGTGGACATAATGAACTTTTGAACACTGACAATGTAAGTCTTCACTGATGTTTTCAGGTTAATGCATTCACCAGCCTGACACTTACCCTAAAGTCGTTCTTAAACTTCTTTAAATCATCGATCTGTTTTCTATGTTCAGACACAACTGTTGACACACCTGGAAAATAAGAACTATTAGGTAGCAATTTATTTCTCACTTTTACCTTAAAATTCTTTTAGTATCAGATTAAAAATGAAAATAAGATCAAAAGAATAACAATTGCAAATATTAAACTATGCATTTATATATACACACCGTAAGAAAAAGTGCTGGAATGAAAATGCTCTGTATTGAGGGTAAATTAGACATGGCCCTATCTACTTCTGCACTCATGCCTAAAAACGTTAACAAACTCGAACCTTTCGCTTCAGCTTTTGAGAAGCTAGGTGATGTTTCATTGACCTTGACGTTCTCTTTATTTCCTGCAGGAGAGTTTTGTCTCTGATCTTGAAGCCGGGAATCTTTAGCTAGGAAACAAACAAACAAAAGTTCAGAAGCACAAATGGGAAAGCAGTCATCAGTTTTGACTTCCTATGCTTTTGGAAAAACTACTTTGGTCTAAACAACCACCATATTAAACACCAGTAAGTATATTTGTATGGGTATTTTGTACCCAGGGGATGCCAATCTTCATACCAGATATTTAAAAAGATAATATGTATGATTAGTGGTGTTATGTAAACAACTAACTTAATTTATACAAAAATTTAAATGTCTATTCAAAATACACATCTATGAATGAAAGACCACAGAATTTGTCATATACTGTTAATCTCTGGAGGCCCTTTGTCTCGTACCTTCAACCGACGGGGTCACAGCTCTGTTGGATGCAGGGCTGGCAGGTGTGGGAGACGCAGCAGGAACAGCCTCTGCCGGGATGCCGCCAGCCTGCGTAGCAGCAAGCACCGGCCCACTAGGAGCGCTTCCGATGCTGTTCTGTCTAGGAGACCTGGGTCTGTGAGTTTTTGGAGATAATCTTGGAACTAGAAACAAGGAAAAGTTCTGTATTACATTCTCAGCTCAAATGCCACCTCCTCAAAGAGGCATATCTCCTCTGATGATCTAGGCAATGTAGTCCTCTGCAGCCCCCAGCACCGTGTTGTTTTTTTTTTTTTAAATAAAGCTTTAGGAATAATGGTGGTAACTGAGAACACAAAGATCTGAAGAAAGATAGCAACCTACTATACAAAGCCACTGGATTATTTCCTTTCAACGGGTGGGAGAGCTCTAAGATGTAGGCCTATAGCTTCTTCCTTCAATGCGTACACTAAAACACCTATCAGCAACTTGCAACCCATCCGATGTACTCTTTATTGAAACATCAAGACTCACTGCGTAGTAACTAAGGAAATTAAGACCCAATTTAGCCGAAAGTATTAAATACCAAAAAAAAAAGGTACAAACATGGTTGATATTACATGTGACTTCAAAATAAGTTTCTAAAGCCAGGTACCAGTGGCTAGCTATTTGGGAGGCTAAGATTGAGAGGACTGAGTTTCAAGGCCAGCCCAGAAGAAAAAGTTCTTGAGGCTCTACCTCAACCAGTAGCTCGGTACAGTGATATACACCTGTCATCCCAAGCTATGTGAGAGGCTGAGATCCAGAGGACCACAGTTCTAGCCCAGCTTGGGCAAAAAGCAAGACCCACATCTCAAGAGAAAATTGCTGAGCATGGTGGCAAGTGCCTGTCATCCCAGTGACAGCAGGAAGTGTAAAACAGAAAGATCGCAGTTCAGGCTTTCCTGTGCAAAAAGTAAGACCCTATCTCCAAAAAACACAAAAAAACCCAGAACACCCAGGGCTGGAGGTATGGCTCAAAAGGTAAAACACCTGTCTATCAAGCATGAAGCCCTGAGTTCAAACCCAGTACCACCACAAAAAGTAAAAAATAGGTTTCATATTCCATTATAAAGCTATTTGCAAAGCTCAAATTCAAAGGCTTCTAGGAAATGGTTTGATTTATTTCACTTTATTTCTCTTCCTTTTTAGTTTTTATTTTTGCAATACTAGGATTTGAACTGAGGGCCTCGTGCTTGCTAGGCAGGCATTCTACCACTTGAGCCATGCCTCCAGCCATGGTTCTTTTCCTTCCTAAGTGCCAAGGATCATGGAAGGAAACTATCATTCAACTATCATTTTTCTAGTAAGGATAAAGAAAAAAACCTACTCTGTGCACATCTCTAACAACTGTACTTTTTGTTCTCGTTTCTAATGATGTTTTTCTCAAAATTCATCTCCAGACCATCTGCGTAATGTCTAGGATTAACAGAATAACTGAAGAGTATTTTTTAAATTTCTAATTTCTTGTTAATCTTAATTGAAGACCAAGGAAGGAAATAAAAACTACAAAGAAATTCACAGTGTAATTATAAGGATGAACATTGCAGGAAGCTATGCAGATACACAGTGTGTATGAACTTAAAAAAGTAAACATCTGACAGTGCTGGGTGTTTTAAATTTAAGGACATTTTTTCCATTGAAAGGGTAAGGATGACAAGAAAAAGGCTATCAGTGAATGCTCTCGGACTCCCCACCACTGTCCTATGGACTGATCAACAAAGTAGCTGAAGACCAACTCTAAAATCTTACAAAAGTTATCATTTCTACATTGTGATCACTATGACTACCCGCATATTCCTCAGGCTAGTCACAGTTAGAAGAGGAGCCTCTCAAAAGAGAAAGAGAGCTGGGCATGAGTGCCATATACAGATGCTATGTAAGCCCAAAAGAAATGATCCATGAATGAAGCTAGAAAACAGTACTCCTTCGAATGGTGTTATGAACTGTATTTGCCTCAGGGCAATGCTTTATAACTAAGCACCAACTATATTGACAGTTATGAAACTCATAGGAATTCCTTCACAAGCCCATAATGTGTACTAGACAGTAATGACTTCAACTCACTGGACAACTAAAACTCAAACCATTACATGACTTGCTCTAACATATGATCATTAAGCAGTGAAACTCAGAATAAAAATGTAGGTTCTCCAATTCCTGGTTATCGCATTGCTTTTTACATATTTACACCTCTTCAAACAGAGCTCAGCTCTTTTTCACATTTGGTAGGTTGTAAAATGCACACTGTCGTGATACCTACCCCCGCTGACCACTGATGACCATGTTCCCCCTGCAGGACTGGTCCTTGCCACTGAAGGAGTAGCGGCTTCACTTGGTGGGTTATGGGATACAAATTCTAGGCCACTTGATATGGCACCCCTTCCAGCAGAAACTCTGTGATTTCGAGGGTGCCTCTGGGCCTTTGGAGACATCCTGGGAGGCCCTAAGAAACAAGGAACATCACATAAATGTTACACTGTCCATCGGTACTTTTCTGCTAAATACACAAAAATACTTCCTTTTACTCAACAGCTTCTCCTTGGTTAAAAAATTAAAAATTCAAATAAACCACAGCACACATATTTTGGGTTATACTAACTCAAAATTACTTTGTGGAATGCCACAGTTTGCAAATAACTTTCATTTCCCTTTATTTTTAAAGAAAGGGAGGGATAAAGGTGGTTAAGAAATCAAACTTCCACCATCTGCTTAAATACATTATTTGCAGGCATATAAAAAGACATTAATAGGAGTTACAGATACATAATGGAGTTTGAGGTTTTTTTTTTTTTTTAAATAATGCCATACGCTTTTACTTTTCTGCTTTTACTTTTCTACCTCAAATTTTCTTATATATATTACTTCCAAAATTAGGGAAAAAATTTATGTGTTTATTTTTGCAGTGCTAGGGATCAAACGCAGGGACTCAAGTGTTAGGCAAATGGTCTACCACTGAGCTTTGTCCCCAGTCTCCAGAAAAAATATATTAATCCCCCAGTACTCCTGTACTCCTGAAATACCCCTTTTAAATGCCTCCAAAACATTAGTTTATCCACCTCGACTACCACAATGATCAATTTTACAAATCATGGCTTAATACAATCTTCACCTGAAAGTAGTTTCTCAGACTAACAGGTTGTTAGTTGAGTCAAACAGTAACTTGTGGAAGAACAACACATGGCGCTTGGGGCAGAAATTTGCACTACACGAATTGGTGAAATTCTACACTACTGATCCTGCCGTTCAATCAGCAATTTCTCTTTGTAAAGCAGTAAACACCAAGTGAAAACAATGGACAGAGCTGCCCCCACCAACAAGGCTCCTTACCCACACTTGGTGCCAAACGCTTCCGAACATCAAATTAATTTGTGTCCCAAGAAGTAATTTAATCATGGACATGATCTTTCAAAAACTTCTAAGGTTATATAGGTCACTTTCAACAGGAGACATTCTGTATCCCTGAAAACCACAGAAGGTACACTTCCCTCTGTGAACTGTCATTAAGGCTTGCTTTTTTATCTTACACATTCTCATGATATAAAGATCCATTTCAATGAGGGACTGTAACAAATACCTCAACAGAACTTAATTTTGCATTTAGGGCCCACTATACAGGCACTGTTGAGGAAGGCAGTCACCTTGAAAATTAGTGAAAGTTGCTTTTCAATATCAGACTAAATTGTCTAGTCAAGGTCACATTACTTTGCTGCCTGGATGGCAACAATTTATTTTATTTGCTTCTTTTGATGGTGCTGGGGTTTGAACTCTGGGCCTCACCCTTGCTTGGCAAGCACTCTACGATTTCAGTCACACCCCCATCCCCCTTTTTTTTTTTTTTGCTTTAGTTTTTGAATAGGGTCTCACATTTGTGCCCAGCCTGGCCTGGACTGCAATCCCCCATTTATGCTTCTCACCTAACTGGGATTACAGACAGCAGCCTCCACACCCAACTCTTTTTGGCTGAAATGGGGGCTCACTAACTTTTTACCTATGCCAACCTAGTAAGTAACTAGAATTACAGACATGAGCCAATGCAGCAGGCAATAATTTATTTAAAGGTAGCCAATGCAGTTTTCTCCAGAGAAGCAATTTATGTAGAAAACTATTAGTCGCAATAAAATTAGTTATGTCTACTCTGATTTTAATGAATGATTAAAATTTTGATAAGGATATTTTGAATTAATATTAGAAAAGCTAACATCATTAGAAAACAAGATTTTTCATTTATGCACTGCATTTAAATTAGAATGTTACCCTTCTACAACACATCCAAGTAGCACATATGCTGCAATGGTAGGGTTAGCATCAAATACTAGCTAAGAATTACAGGATATTATTCTTATTTTTGATAAGAGCAAAAAAAAACCAGTCTAAGGATTCAAATTCGTATCTGACTTTTCTTTTTTTCTGGCACTGATGTTTGAACTCAGGTCCTCATGCTTGCTAGGCAGATGCTCCTACTGCTTGAGCCTCTCTGCCAGTGCCTAACTTTTATTTTCAATAGAGGACTTCTTCTAGATTAAAGTACTTTGAAATAACATTGCAAAGCTAACTTTAAAAAGTTATTTGGTTAAATTTAGAATTCTTTCGGTCCTTTGTATTGTAAGCTGAGGGTAGCCATGTAGGCATCACATTAAATGTCATGCTTGACAAGGACCCATGAAACACCACTCCTGCCTGTGGCCTCAGCTATAAAAAGACAGGGCAACGGTGAGTCCAAGGCAGGGAAAGAAAGTCCACTGTTCCCCATTAACAGGACACCCAGTGTCAACAAGGAGGAAGAGGCCTGAGCAGACCTCCCTACACGGGCTGCAGAGGAGCATGTGATAGGCAGATCAAACCTCCTTTCTTAAAATTCACAACAGTTCACAGCTTCACACAGCATTTATCACATTTCTCTCTAATGAACAAAAGGTTAATAGAAATAGTTTCAATAAACTAAAGTTAAAACACAGAAATTATAGGTTATTAAATAATGAAGAGGAAACTATTTTGTAATTATAAACTCACATAGGAGTTAAACAAAGACAAACGAAAACATGAACAAATTGTGGTATTGTACCTTCTGAAGACATGCGTTTAGGCATAGTAGAGACAGGAGCTGGAGAACCATGAGCAGAGGGGTGAGACGGGGGTCTGGATGGCCGCGAGGGGGGCCTGGAGGGCGGCCGTGTAGGGGTGGCTGCCCGAGGTGGAAGAGAGTTGGGACCTGACTGGTAGCGAGAAGGTGGGCGAGAGGAAGGAGATGGGCAAGGCGATGGCCAGGGAACACCTGACAGAACAAATGATATGAAGGAAAGTATAAAAACTAAAGAAAAAAATGAGGGAAAAAGTAAACAGAAAAAAAAAAGTAAAATGACAAAAATGATTTCTTGTACATTTTAACCCTTTGAGGACAGTCATTTGATTTGTGATTTTTAGCATAACTTAACTGACATAAATTTACATATTACTTTAACCTCCTTAAAATTAAGTCTGTTTAAATAAATACACGTTCCCAAAGGGTTAATCAGGATCTACACATACTACTGAAGAAGACAGTTAAGACTATGCCTGCTAATCCTACTTCTAGAACTGTTCTCAGTAATCAACTGCTAAAAGGAATAAACATACATAGATAATTTCACACAATAAAAACACACTAATTCCTACTCAGGAATAAGATTATTCACTTCATTAGCAATAAGGAACAGCTACTCAATCCAACTTTAAAAGCTGATTTCTTACAGTCATCTAAGATTTTTGTCGAGTTTAGATCTGAACCTATGGTGCAGTGTGAATTCTCAGCTAAGCCAGTCCCACTTAAGTACAAATACAAAACGACTTCTATTTTGTAGACTCACAGGAGCAACAAAAGAATTAATACTCACTGCTCTCTCATTATAATAGAAAAGGAGAACCTTGTAAGTGTATTATATGCAGTTAAATACTTCTCTAAGTGACTGCTTACTGCACAAGGCAACTACATGGCAGTCAGCACACATGAGCTGCTACTCACAGACCTGCACCATCAAAGTACAGCTGACACGTCTGCTTCAGACCACTCACCTCCATCCTGAAAACAGTCCAGGTCCCCTCTCCAGAGGGCTCCCACACACTCGAGTATCATACATTTCCCAGCCCCTTCAGGTTTTTTATTTTGAAAATTCTGTTTATAAACAACTAAAACTCTATGCAGCGAGCAAAGGAATTTCACCCCCATTACTAAGCACAGAAAACACTCAAGAGTGCTCATTTGGAGAGGAATTCTGGAGAAAAGATTCAATGAAAACAATTGAAACTGGAAACTAAGTGTTCTCTATTTGTTCTAACTTTCTAAATTTAAATGCCTAGAATTGGATGTCCTCTCTTCTCTCTGAATTACAAACTCTGCTGCTGTTATGGATGGCACATTTTCATATCATTCACAGTTGTGCTATTTAGTATCCCAGAATTCTGTAAACCATCCATATCCTACAAGCTATATTCAACCTGACTTAGAGGGATCAGAGTGAACCTGTAACTACTACATACCGAAGTTTCTTTCACCTAAGGTGCTAAACTGGGCCATCTACCCTCAGTGGCTAAGGGTTGTTTTGTGTATTGTTGAGCGGATATCTTTGATCACTCTGATTACCTCAAAGCCCTTCTTGAAGTAAGTAAACTATAAATACATAAACAAAGAAAATAAATTTATACTAACAACTATTTCACATATATTAGGATTTTCCATATAAACCGTATCTAAATGATTTTACTATTGTGTTTTTTGAAATTGAGAACCTATCCCAAAGTTTCCAATTTCTTCACATGTGGAATGTTTTTTGCCCAAGTGAATGTCTGAGATAAATTTAGCATCTTTTCTTAGTTTTACTAATCTGATATCCACAAAAGCAAATTTTAGCTAATTCTGAGGTGGAAACTGCAAAATCGTTCACAGCGTGCATGACGCCATCAATGACGTGACTAAGCATTTGAGATCTCTGTGCCTTCTTGAATGACATTGACAGATTTGCTCAAGATACTTGCCTCCATTAACTACTCTTTGGTCGGAACCAGAATTCGGGTTGGAATCTGAAGTGTGACAAGTGGATCTTGATGGTGTGCAGCCGGACCCAGGCTGGCCCATACGTGCTGAATTCTGTCTCCCACTTCCCCAAGATAGGACTTCTCTATTTCTTTGTCCAGGAGGAATATATTTATTTTCCCTGAAAATGAAAGACCCTCTAAATCATTTTATCTAAGAATGTACCAGGCCAAATACATCTAAAAGTACTTCAGGCAGAAGGGATGCTTGTTACAGAGGATTCACACTACACACACCGCTCACCCCTGCTCTTTCATCTTATTCTAAGTTCTAGCCCCTAGCCCTTTCGTTCCCTTCCCTTCCCAATGGGGTCTCCTCCTAGGCAGTTTATCAGACACATGCTTATTTTCATCCTACTTGACCTTTCTGTGGCTGATTCTACCTGTCATGGTGTACCTTCTTAGAATGTTTTTGTCCTTGTCTTTCTCAACTTCATTTTCTCTGGAATCTCTTCCCTCTGGCTGTTCTTTAAAAGGTTTTTTATAGCTTCAAGATCAGCACGGCTGATGAATCCCAAAACTGCGCTGCCAGTCCTAATCTCCACACCTCCCATTGGACCCATCAGCTCCTATCAGCAGATGCTAAGCTGTGAATGCCTTGAAGACAAGAGCATATCTCTTGCTCTACCAAGTATGTAGCAGGTGTCCCCAACATTATTCACAAGTACACGGAAGACCCACAAGCCCCTCAAATGCAACTAACTGCACAAGCAGAGCCATCATTTGTGCCCTCAAATTGCTCCAGTGTTTCCTAGCTCCACTTCAGTACAATCATCAATTCACTTAATTTCAAAATAAGAGGCAGGTCACGCATGGCTTTCCTATCCTTTCACCATTACCCTCGGTCCAGAATCAATCAAGTTCTCCAGATTGAACTGCAATGCACAGACAGGGCTGTCTGCACCATAGTCCTCAGTGCCCTGAGCTTGTTCCCCCCACCCTTCCTTACAGGGAACTTCCTCAGATGCCCAAGTCCTCCCCTGATCTCAGTTCCCATTATCACCTGCCATCGCTGTACCCACAACACTGACCCTAGACTCTAGACACAGGAAACACCAGCCTTTCCTGAGCTGGCTGGGCTCTTTCACAAGGCCATTCTTCTGCACAGATCTTTTCACCTGGTGAGCACCACTGCTCTCTGAGTAACAGACAGACCTCCTTATCCCATCACAAAGCCCTAGTGAGGCTCTGACTAGACAGGAAATGCTAGTTCCTCTTCGCTCCAGGTGTTCCTAGTATTTTACCTACCTGTAATCAAGCACACTGTACTGTTACTGTTGTACATATACCCACCCCCAGCCCCCAGATCACTATTTTTTAACGAGCTCTTTAAGAATGGCTTACTCATCCTTTTATACTCAACACCTGGTACCACAGAGCTGACTCTCAAAAACATTTTTCGAAGATCAGCACAATCTTTTCTCTATCAGATCTTAAATCAATTCCATTTGCATTCTCTACCTAAGCTTCATTAAAGGAAGAGGAAATATAATAATAATACACCTTTTCACACAGACCTTGAGTTGTGTATCCAAAATACTGCATCATGATTTCCTGTAAATACCTAGTGTTTACGCTGTGCCCCTCACGTTCACTGGAATTTCTCTGAACTGCTGTATATTTTTCTTCCTCGCTCCTATCATCATTTTCCAGAGCCACCCGAGCTTTGTACTGAGCACTGGATTCAATTTCTTCTGCTAACTGGTTTGCCCTTGCTTCCCGTTTTAAAAATTCTTCGGAATTATCCCTTTCTAAGGGCACCCTAAAACACAAGCAAAAGAAAGCAGAGTGATTAAAGTCATAGTTTGTACCTGTCACAATCAACTATTCAGAAATTTCAGTTTGGAATAGTAGAAAAACTGTATAAATTACAGTGTTGAATTTACCAATCAAAATTTTGAATTTTTTTCTTTACTTTTTACGTGGAAGAGCATTTACTATTTGAAGAACTGGCTAAAGTGTTCACCATAACCTCAACACTTGCAAAAAATTTTTCTTTTACAACTTAAAAACAAAATCAAAACAAATCTCATTTTGATCGTAACAAAAAGCCGTAGGGAACTTTTAACAGTAACTGAGCTGAGTTAGTAACAAATGAATTCCTTCATATAACTGTTCAACTTAAAATCTAACAGGAACATTTTCAGCATAAATCGAGCTGTTGAAAATCAAAAGAAAATGCACTGAAAGAAACGCAGACTTTTAAACTTACGTGTACGAAGATAAACTGCTATCATATGTAGACACCACACCGTAATTTTCTTCATTGTACCGAAACATATCATTGGGATCCCATCCATTAGACTAGAAGAAAATGAAACTCATTTTTCAAAATGACAACAAGCCTATCTTCTTTAATGTGATTACAGTCAGTATTTACAATCTAACAAACTATACGAGCTATAGCTAACAAATGAAAAACAAGCGAAACTGTCCACTAAAAATGTTTTAAGGAAAAACTTCTCCTCTGCACACCAGTCCCACAAATTGGTAAATGACTACACAACTTGCTTGAGGTCACTGGAACATCCTCAAACTTTTTGTTACTTCATAAAATCAGACCCTTTGGGTCAGAACACTCGCCTTCGCATGTCCTCTAACAGTCACTGTTCTTGGGTATCTTTTGTTATTGTAACACCATTCTTTTTGATAGATTTGGAGTATTTCTACTGAGTCAGCACCACAACTGTACTTAGTTCATTTTCTACTGATCGGCAGAAAAAAATGCTGTAGAAAACACAATTATTTGCATGTCCTAAAACATTAGGGCAAATATAAATTTTCAGAAGTAGAATTGTTGAAACAAACTGAATGTGCATTTCGAATTTTGATAAACATTGTCAGATTCTCCCTCGAAAAAAACTCAGTTTACCCACCTCACTCTCTGGGTAAAAGGAGGAGGGCATTTTCCACACAAGTAACATGATGCACATTTGAGGATACTGGGTATTTAGGGTTTTTTTTTTTTTTTTTTTTGGTGGTACAGGGTTTTTACTCAGGGCCTCCGTCTATCTCTTGAGCCATGCCCCCATTCCTTCTTGCTTTAATTTTTAATACTCTGTGTTTCCCAGGCCGGCCTGGACCCCAATCCTCTTATTTATTATGTCCACGTAGCTGGGATGACAGGTGCAAGTCACCATGCCTAGCTTTTCTGCTGAAGATGGAGTCTGGCTAACATTTTGCCCAGGCTGGTTTCTAACCTTGATTTTCCCCATCATTGCTTCCCGATTAGCTAGATTACAGGTGTGAGCCAGCATGCCCAGCCAACACCACATGTGACTCAAGTATGAAAGTTAACAATGACATGCTGCCTATGTATTTCCAGTTCTTTAACAGAGGTAAGGTCGGAGGAAGAGAAGGTGCTAATAAGTACTTGAAAATTCTCAGGGAAAGGTTCTTCATTCAGTTCAAACTTTACTACACAGACACTCATTGTTCACTTTCTATCTCTATGCTCTCTCTGCTAAAGGTAGAGTCAACTAAGCATTTGGCTTGAAGGCATATTGGGGAAAGCAAAGATAATGTGATGAGCGGCATTTCAGAAACAGATTTCTACACCTCTGTGGGAAATGAGTCCGTTGAGCACCAAGAAGTGTGCGTGGTGCTTTATCTCTAACGCAACCTCATCTTGTGCTTCATGAGGAGTACCTTGTCTCAGCGAGAGCTTCCATGTCCAGCCTGAACCTCAGCTCTGGGGAAAGTCAACGCACAACGAACACACTTCTCTCCAACGCTGCAAGCGTCCAGAGCAAAACGCACTGGCATTTCTCTCACAATTTGTAATTTGAATTAGTAAAGTTGCTTATTAGCACTTAATTACAAGGAAATGAATCATGAGCATAACAGACAGCAACCCCTGCTTAGTCCTCACAAGTAAAATAACCAAAAATAATTTTATATTCATTCTTCCTTTATTGCCTGGGATAAAGTCTCTATCTACATCACAACTGCTGCTCTAAGTGTGTTCGTATGACGATAGGAATATGCTTAAATGGAAGCCACACATGGCGGCATCGGGATGCCATGCACACAGCACACTGAGCACCGAGTCTGCCAGCCAGTCGCAAAGGTGCTACTTACAACGTCGCTTTCCAAAGCTTCCAGCGCCTCACCGGGTGCGAGTTCGCCTGCATCCCAGGGCTCCAGGTCCTTCTCCCTGTGCTCACCGTTGACTTTGGCACTGATTGCAGAGTCGGTGAAAGCATCTACAAAGGACAGTTTTGGTTAAAAAGTCACACGGCCAGACAACAGGTACAGTCTACATATCAATTAGCAATAATCAAAGATGCATGTTCAACAAATATGCATGGGTAGTCAGGCACAGTGGCACACACCTGTAATAGTTTTCAGGAGGCAAGATCGGGAGGATTGCAGCTTAAGGCCATCGAGGAGAATGTTAGGGAGACCCCATCTCAACCAGTAAGCTAGGTATGGCACCCAATCTTAGAAAAGCCCCACATGTTTCTCTTTTTATTTTTTTGGTGGGACTGGGGTTTAAACTCAGGGCTTGGCAGTTGCCAAGCAGGTGCTCTACTGCTTGTGTCACCCTTCCAGTCCGTTTTGCTCTGGTTATTTTAGAGATGGGGGTCTCTCAAACTATTTGCCCCAGCCGACCTCAAACCAAGATCCTCCTGATCTCAGCCTCCCACGAAGCTAGGATATACATAGGGTGTGGCTACAATACATTTTATACAGAAATTTACTATTCACGTGCTATAGTTCAGCAGTATGGTTTTCTTTCAAGGCAGAAATGAGAGAAGGCAAAACAAATGGATGAGTCTGTAAGGGATGATATTCCTTGACTTTAAACTTTCCCCAAAGTAGTTCCCTTTTGAAGATGAGTAACAGGTTTAGGGAAAGGTGACAGTGTGGTGCATCGGCACAGAACGAGCTGGGGGAGGAACCCTGGCTGTTAAGCACCTGAATTCAGGACAAAACAGTGTCAGGAGCCGAAAGAAAGCAAGATCCAGGCATTCAATTCTGCAACATTGTCAACAGCCACTACTGTAACTCTGGTTTTAGGAGCTTTAAAATAAAATGCTCAACATATTATTAACAGCCATGTTTGCATTTATAAAACATCGCTGTTGGTAACCAACCAAGAGTCCTGCAAAGTTCCAAAAAGCCAGCTGGCCACACCCTAACTGCAATTGTGAAAATTCGCATGCAGACTGTATCAGTGCCATAACTCAATATTAGTTTTCTAAAATCATCTATGGAAAGAAACAAAAGCAGTGTAAGAGCAAGATGCAAGAACACAAAGTGACTGTCAGAGAAGTGTTACCTGTTTTTGAAGGAACTACGGATACAGAAAGGAAAAGAAGACATGATTATCGGACGAGACAGAACATAAGCATTTAGTTCTTTCTGTGCTCCCCCCGCCTTACAGACATCCGTTTACAAAAGCCCCAGAGCAGAAGGGGAAAGAGGGTAAGCTTACTCCCCTCTCTGCCACCCTCACAGCAGGCAGGCACACAGCACCCTCCCCTCTTTCAGGCAGAACCCTATCGTTTTGGGCCAGTAGTGCCATCTGGTGGTGGTCACGATGAAATGCCCAAACCAGCAAGGCCCTCTTGAGCATCTCTGCCTCTCCTAGCCCCCTGACCCAGGAAACAGGGTGGGTATTCTGTTTTTTCCGCTCACCTTTCAATTATGCCTCTGAAAACTTGTTCAAGCTTGTCAAAGGATTTTATGAAGGGTCAGGACAGTGGTCAAACAAGCAAAATGCTAACGTTACGTACAAATAAATACAAACTGGAAGCTAAAAATTATGAAGTGGGCTGGGGATGGCTCAGTAGTAGTAGAGTGCTTGCCTAGCATGCACAAGATCCTGTGTTCCAGCCCCAGCATCATAAAAAGCAAACAAAACTTTACAAAATGACATAAAACCGAATGAAATCATTAGTCATTAACATCAGAAATCCTCAAATGGGCAGTGGCTCACACTTGTGATACCAGCTGCTCAGGAGGTAAAAATTGAGGGAATTGCAGTTTGAAGTCTGCCTGACCAAAAAATGTTGGCAAGATGCCATCTCAATGAACAGGCTGGGTATGATGGTACACAACTGTAATCCCAGCACACAGGAAGCCACAGGTGGGAGGATAACAATCCAAGGCTGACCCAGACAAAAATGCAAGACCCTACATGAAAAATAACTTGGAAAAAAAAAAAAAAAGAAAAAAAGAAATCCTCAAATGTCATTCTAAGGAAAGGCCACCAAAAACTCTCTGCTACCCATTTCATCTCATTTAAAACTGCTTTTATCTTAAACATCTAATTTTTAAATAAGAGAACTTAATCCTGCATATATCCCAAAGGCAGAAGCAGGTCAGTGAGTTCAAGGCCAGCCTGGGCTACAACCAGTCAGAAAAAAAGGGAGGGGAAGGGGAAAGGGGCGGGAAGGGGAGGAGAGGAGAAACAAGGAGAGGAATTTGTCTCTATTTTATCGTTTTCATCAATTATTTCTACTATGGCACTTTTTCAACAACTTGTCAAGCATTTTCTCAGCTTCTCCCATCAGCTGTGTGTGCCAACCTGGAGACTCAGAGGCCTGAGGCTAAAAGGCACTGATGGAGGCCTGGGCTGGGCTTCTGAAGCTGCAATCTCCACCTTCTCATGGAGGTAATTACAGACACAAAGCCAAGTCTTCTAGAGTCCAATGCACCAAGTGCTAAGGTGTGATCAGGAGTGAGTTCTAAGGGACAAGAGGCTGTGATTTAGCCATCAAGAACACAAACAGAAGCTGTGCGGTGACCACACTGGTAACCCCAGCTACTTGAGGCGGCACAGAGTTGGAGCATCAAGATATGAGGCCAGCTTGCAAAAAGTTAGTGAGACCACAGCTTAACAAACAAGGCAGGTGTGGTGGTGCACCGTATACAGGGAGGAGTACCAAAGTCCATGCTGGCCCTGGGCGAAAAGCACAAGACCCTATCTGAAAAAATAACGAAAAAGCAAATCAAGAACACAAACAAAAATTAAGTAGGAGGAAGCAACAGGGCTCCAACCTAGAAGACAGCATCATTAGAAATGCACGCAAGGGGCTGCCGGCCTAGCGTGCAAAGTCCTGTCTTCAACCCCACGGTAACACACACAAAAGGAAGAAGTGCAGTGGCACACACCTGCAGCACCGGCTCCTTGGATGGTTGAGGCAAGAGGTTCACCTGAGGCCAGGAGTTCCGGGCCAAATGCATGTAAAAAATTTCTGAATACTACGTAGCGCTACAGGCTTCCCCAGGCAAGTAGGATGGGGAGTTGCAGGGATATTATCTTTTGTCTACTCATCTGTTCTAACTGAGTATTTCCACCATGAGAGTGCATTGTTCTACGCACTATACACATAAGACTAAAGAGTAAAGGTGAGGATAAGAAACACTGTATGGACATGAAAGACAGAGCAAGGGCACAAGTGGCAGTGCTGTCCTCAAGGGGAAGTGGGAATAGAAAGAGGACTGCAGGGAGATGGCTCAGGAAGTCTCTACATTAGGATACTCTTTTTGTAATCCATGGACCTTTGGCATTTTGGGGAAGCCTATGGACCCAAATTCTGAAAGCATTTAAGTACATAAAATCCGTACAAAATCAAGCCAATTATGATGAAATGCAATTATCAAATCCATGTCAGAAATATGCATATTTCTTTATTAAGGCATTGGATACTACAACCTTAAAGACATGATGAATATAAGCAATAAATTTGAGGTGCCTATAAAAGCAAGCAACGAGAGTTCTGAGGCACTTCACTCCCAAGCGCTGAAACCACTGACTAGTGCGTACATTTACAGTGGAAAGAAACAGATCTCCCCCTTTTTTATTAGTGTATGGACTGGCACAAAGGGTTTCATTGTGATATTTCCATACGTGCATATAACGTATTTTGATCAAATTAGCCCCCTCCTTTGACTCTTCTTATTCTCTATGCCTGGAAAGAAATGTTAAGCTTCACCCAGAGGTCACTGAAAATGAATTTCATGATGATCTGAATCCGATCCAGATTCTTTGGCAATCCAGTATCAGGGCTAAGGCTGCCTACTTGCTCTAACAAGCAGGAGGGAGGAGGATTTGTTTATAAAAAAGGCCTGCTGACCTCTCCAACAAGAGCCAGAAGTACCTCACGAGGGCTTCCTCCAGGCACACCCAGAAGGCTGCCATCAAGAGCAGTCAGCAAAGAGTTACATGGAAGGGCAGGGGAGGGACAGAGAGGACTGCAGGGGCCAAGAAATGAAGTGGCTGATGTGGCTATGGTCAGAGAGCAGATCTCAGAGAATATTCTGGAAGAGGAACAGTGGCAAGTGATGACAAAGTCATGCAGGCTGCAAAATGGCAGGAATGGAACCTAGGGACTCCGTTTCCACAGAAGAGGCTGTGTTCTAAATGACCCAGATGAAGACTAATCTACAAATTCACATTTGAGCACAACATTCTGGGAAATTCAAATGCCTTCTGTGGTAAACTCCAACACTTAGAAAGCTGCACAACCAAACACACCAGGCAGTAGTTTTGACTATTAAAACATACTGCCCATATTGAATGACAGTAATTAATTTTTTACTGATTGCAATTTTGGGACTGTCAAGCAAAACTATTTACTGTGATTTATTTGGCACACTGCACAAGTGACACTTAAGAGAATCACAAAATTCAAGGCTTTCAGGTTAGACCCCTAAGTCAGCCCCACTGTTTTATCTTCAACTGAAAATTTTATGACGAGCTAAAGTACCAAAACAAAACAGAGATCACCCTGACTTTCACATACTGCAGGTGGGAAAACAGAATCTTCCTGTAGCACAAGTGCCCGTCACAGGCAACACAGCCTTTCTTACTTGTAACCTCTTCTGACCTCAGAAGATGAAATTCTGCACCAAACGTCTGTCTTGTAGAAACAGAACAAAGGCCCATACTGGCACAACTGTGACTTCCCAGGAGTTGGAGACGTTAACCATAAAAGCATCCTAGTGAACAAGGTGACACGGCCCCTCCAACACTCTGCAGAACAAGGAAGGCTTTCCAGCAGAGCCCCAAGCTACTAAGCTTAAACAACACGAGATCATTAAGTTCCCATTCTTACTGGAGGAAAATGTGCGTAACACGGCTTATGGGTTTTCTGACCCATAGTGGTAGGAGAAAGGTTGGTTCCGCCTGGATTCGCATAAAATAAATGACTGAATCGCTGAGGTCACTGAGGTAAGGCATCTCTTCCTGTGGTTTCAAGCTGAATCATGCTACAGTTAGTTTCACACTATTGTTCCTGGATACTTTAAGTACACAGCTGTATTTCAAATGTACATGTTTTCATACTTTTTTTTGATGGTGTGGCGTTTGAAGTAAGGACCTCGCGCTTGCTAGGCAGACACTGTACCACTTGGCCACGTCCCCACCCTTCCTGCTGATGGGATCTCAAGTTCTTCCCAGAGGCCAGCCTTGGACAATAATCCTACCCCTATGCCTCTTGTGTAGCTGGAACCATAGGTGTGTGCCATCGGACCGAGCTTGTTTTGTTGAGACGGGGCCTTTTTTTGCCTTGCCTGCCCTCACACCGAGATCCTGCCCACGTCCCCCTCCCAAGCAGTTGAGATTATAGCAGCAAACCACCACACCTGGCTCATACACCACTCTTTATCTGTGCTTACAACTTTTCTGACTGATCTAAGAATCACATGGGCCTCATTTTCAAAGCTAACACTTGGGATTTTGTTTTTTACTTTAAAAAGGGTATTAAAACTTCTGTTAAAAATATGCCAGTGTACATCATGCTGTAGGAAAGCCATTATTAGATTTGGCTAAGAATAAACTGCTTTCTTGAGTACCTCAGAACTGAATGATTACAACGTTAATAATTCTCAATAGTAATATGTCTATGTAAGAAAAAAAATAACCAGTTTTCCCTGCTTGGTTCTAGTGACCATTTTTGGGGGAGAGTGGGGGAACTGAGTTTTGAACTGAGGGCTTTGTGCTTACAAGGCAGGTGTGTACTGCTTGAGTCATACCTGCGGTCTGTTCTGCTCTGGTTATTTTGGAGATGGGGGTCTCTAGAATTATTTGCTTGGACTGGCCTCAAACCATTATCCTCCCGATCTTGCTTCCCAAGTAGCTAGGATTACAGGCGTGACCACTGTGCCTGGCTTAAAGAGCTCAATAGAAGCAACAAACACATGTGAAGTACCTACTATTTGTAAGGCACTATGGGAAGGACATATCTTTAGCTGTGCAAACATGACCTCTAAACTCCAGATCCTTATAACGCCCTAGGAAAAGACAAAATACTGGTGAAAAGTCATCATACACTGCTTTGCAGAGCT